TATTCACCAGAAGACGTACTATGTAGTCGTTCCTGACAAGAGGAACATTTGGTTCTCACCGGTCACTGATCATTCATAGATCATTCTCCCGCTGAGACAGCTCCAGCACTTCCCAAAGTTTTGAGTTGCACCATCTGGGCTCCCGGAAGCTACTCAGCAAGCCAGATCTCACTCATGACAGCAGGGTCATGTGGCGTTTTATTCATGGTCTCACACTAGACAGGCGACCTTGTGTCAAGAGGAAAAAGCAACTGGTGGAAACTGTGGAAGGGCAAGACAGTGCAGTTTGCTCTGTCTTGTATTCTTGCCAAGGCTATTCCAGGTTTAACTAGGATTTGATCTCATCAATGGAGAATCCCATGGAAAATCACCCAACTCTATTCTAGGAACTCAAGGTCAAGATGCCCCAGCTAACTTAGCTTAGCTTCTGTTAAACAACCTGCTTGTGCAAACCTCCTCCACACCTGCTTATCTAATTTCTGTTAAACTGCTAGCTTTCCAAAATCTCCCCCTTCTGATGCTGAGTAAAATACCAGGAGGTTTGTTTGTTTGTTTGTTTGTTTGTTTGTTTGTTTGTTTTTAAAAGCCCCTTGGTCTAAATGCTCAGGGCTATACCTGGGTCCCCAGATACCTAATTGTAGTCCCAGCTGGCTGGGATAAAGCCTTTCAATTGGCTAGAGACTGTCTCTGAGTTGTCATCTCTGTGGGCCAACTGTACCAAGACAATCTGAGAAGATGCAAAAGATGGGACTTGTAGAGTGGATTTGGACAATCTAACACCTCCAGGGAACAACGTCTCTGTACACTGGAAACCTGCTGCTTGTCTTGTGGCCAGTCTGAGTTTTTCATGCTACTGAACAGATAACAAAAGGGTTGTTTGTGGCATTAGCCAGGTTAATTTATCCTAGTTACCCTGGTAAAGTGCAGCTGCTTCTACTCAGTCATAACAAATGAGACTACTTCTCCTTCAGGTCTATAATGGAACCAACCTGTTATTTGTTCTCTTCTATTACAGGGCTCCTGGTGGTTTTTCTATGCCTGGCCATACCTTTTTTAGTAAACAGTTTAGTTAAATCCTCAAAATTATTCTTTTAGCTGGGTATGGTGGTATACGCCTTTAATCCCAGTACTCGGAAGCAGAGAGAGGTAGATCCCTAAGGTCAAGGCAAGCCTGGTCTGCAGAGTGAGCTCCAGGACCGCCAGGGCTACACAGAGAGACCCTGTCGCAAAACAAAATTTTTTTCCTGCTTTGATATTGCTATCTATTTCTTGCTGTAACTCTCCTTGGTATTTCAGATACAAGAGACACAGAATAGAAAAGGAGATCTCCTCTCACCAAAATTAAACAAGGAAAACAAGGAGGAGGCAAGAACTATCTGGAAAGGCAATAGATAACAATAGTAAGAGACTTTAACTCAGTGTAACACCCTGGCTGATGCTAGAGCCTGTGACTGCTACAGAACCTTCTCTTGCTGCCGGCCCCTGAGAACTAGCAGCTTCGGGGTAAGGACACCAGGGTAGCACTCTGAGGAATAAGTTGCCTCTGAAGACCTACCGAGCATTGCTCCTTTTCTCCTCAGGGTGGGTGGTATGCAAAGGAGCCCTGCCCCTGCCCCTCCAGTCAGTGCTGTAACCCATTGCGGAACATTGCATCACATCTCTCTCTCCCCTGCCAGTGTTCTATCTCAGCCTCTCTGCAGACCTTCACCTGTTTCAGTGCTGTAGCCTTCAGCTCTAGAGGTGAAGGGCGGTTAGGGTGGCCTTAAATTGGTCACAATGTATCCTCCCCAGTGAAGGTATAGCCATACCACTGGATGCCTAGAAATTCCACTAGGTAGAAGGCCCTTGAATGTTTGTCTATTTCTCACCCTCTAGCCTACAAGGGACCTACCAATATGCCTGGAATACATGCCAAGTATTGTTCACCTAGTGCAATCAGCTTAATAGCATCTGTCTCATGGACTAGTGTGGGGTCTTAAGGAAAAGGCGTTCACAAAGTGTGACTAACTGCATCTAGACACTAGGCTATCCTCCTGAGGGAAGAAGTGAAGGTGCTTTGACCTTGCCAGCTGCAAGCCACCTCTGGAGCTCTGTACTAAGAGGTATAGAGGAAAAGCATGTGCCAGTGTGGCGGGTGCCTACCTGCTGTGCTGGGGTGCCGAAGCAACAAAGCCACATCTGCAATTGGAGTCACCACTGAATAGCTCGTGACTAACACTCTCAAAGATCTGCTGTCCGCACAGGCCAAATGGTGAGCTGAGGACTGGGTGGGAGAAACCAACCCGGCAACATTCTGGCCTTTGATGATGTCCCAGTTTGAATAGGGATGGCCCTCCTAGACTCCCGTGTTTAGATGCTTGGCTCATAGGGAGTGACACTCTTAGTAGGTGTGGCCTTGCTGGAAGAAGTGTGTCACTGTGGAGCCGGGCTCTGAGGATGTTCAGGCTACCCCCGGCAGGAGGTATAGCACACGGGCCTCTCCTGCTGCCTGAGGACCAAGATGTAGAACTCTCGGCTCCTTCTCCAGCGCCTTATCTGCCTGCACACTGCCACACTTCCCATCATGATGATGGACTAAACCTCTCAAACTGTAGGCCAGCCCCAACTAAATGTTCTCCTTCATAGGCATTGCCTCGCTGACGGCGTCTTCACGGCAATGGAACACTAAGACAGATGTTATCACTCACCTCCACAATCCCTCCAGAAGCGGGGTGTTACTCAGTTTACCTGTTGTCTTAGGAATCTGGTCTTACATTTGGGGAGGCTGTGAGTCTGAGAAAAAACATCAGCTGGCCCACGCTCACTTTGCAGGTGCTGGAAAAGGAGCCACCCCAGGCCTATCTCCAAGCTCCTGGGAGTTCGCTGACCTGTGGCATACCTAGATTTGTGACAACATAATTCCAGTCTTTGCCTGATGTTCTGAGTGTCCATTTGCGTCTACTCCCCCATGTTATGACATGAGTTGTAACGGTTAACTGTGAACTTAAATGGAATGAAAACTATCTGGATTAGTGAAACATACGTTGGTAGTGTCTGGGTTAAGTGCTTGATGGAGTCAGCATATGATGGCAATATTGGGAGAGGGTTAAAGATAAAAGGTGAAAGCCTAGTTAGAGGAGGGTCACTGAAGAGGTGCCCTTATGGGCTCTTCAGTGTCCTGGCCCCTTCTTCTGTTTTTCAGCCTCTTGGCCACCATGGTATGAATCCCCCTGCTCTGACAGTGAGCCCTTTTACTTTAGGCATTTGGAACTATTTTGGGGGATAAATCTCACAATACTGTCTGACCTACAAAAGACCAAATTTTAGGAGCTCCCTCACAATTCTGGTAACATGTAACTTATGTGTTCATGAAAAATACAGTTAAATTTTACTGTGTGAACATCATAGACTTAAACTTAGTGTTTGTGTATTCCATTACACCTCTAGGCTGTGACTGTGTGTACAGAAACTGCTCCTACACAATGGTGCACCAAACATAAAATTAAACTAAGCATGAGAGAACGACGAGGAGGTAACTACAAGATGTATAAGGCTGCTATGTGAGTAAACAGTTTGAGAGTGAACTTTTTAAAAACTTATTTATTTTTATGAACATTTAGTGTTTGGGTGAGGGAGTCTGATCCACTAGAATCTGAGTTACAGACCAGACAATTGTGAGCTGCCATGTGGGTGCTCGGAACCGAACCAGGGTCCTCTGGAAGAACACCCAATGCTTTTAACCACTGAGCCCTCTCTTCAGCCCCTACAACAAACTTTTTTACATGAGTCTATTTTAAAATAATGAGCCAAGATCCTAGCAAATACATTTCAGTCACATAGCATTCATAATGAGCATGTGTCACTGGCAGCAAACACTTGATAATACCACCATCATCTGTGACAGCCCAACAGCTCTAGCCATCACTAGGCCACAGGAAATATGTCTCCATTGTAACCTTATAGGAGCAGAGTCACACATGCAATGAAGTGTGTTCCCTGGACTGTCCCGAGGGGGGTGGTCTCATATGATAAATCCATTCTAAACAGCCATTCTCCTGAGTATGGTGGCTCCTACCGTAAAGTCCATTCTCTCATGGATTGCAGTTTGTACCTCATCCTTTGGTAGGAACGTGGGTCTAGTTACAGGTCTATTATAGAGTGGGTAGGAACAGCTTCTGAGGAGACTCAGCAGTGCCCTGCAGGGAACATCTCTGGAGAGTATAACCTGCCCTTCAGGCAAAGGACAGTTTTTTTCTCAGAGGCAAGGAAATTGTATCAGAATTTAGGGCTTCCAATTCCCCGGCTTTACTGAGATCTTGTATCTCCCTTTCTATTTATCAGAACTGCATCCTCTCCAGTCTGTGATCTTCAACAGTAAATAAAAAGTAATCTTTGGTGGGCTGGGGAAGACTTAAGATTTAATTTTTTTTTAATTTTTTATTTTTTTAAAGCAGAGGACCTCATCCACTCTGAAAATGGTACCTCAGAGGTCAGATCTCCTCATTTCCTAGAGCAGGAGTCAGAAGCAGATGTGACTCCCAACACAGGTACTAGGAACCAAATTAAGTTTTTGTTTAGTTTTGTTAGAGATAGGGTCTCCACTGTATAACCATGGCTGGCTTCAAACTCAGAGGGATCTGCCTGCCTCTGCCTCCTGAGTGCTAGGATTAAAGGTGTGCACTACTATTCTTAGCCTAAGTTTTGTCTTCTTTTTGCAATTTAAGTGTTTAACTGTGTCTGTGTGTGCGTATGTGCACCACATGAGTTAAGTGCCCTAGGAGACCAAACACAACCACTGCCCCTGGAACTAGAGTACGACAAGCAGGTGTAAGCTGCCTGATGTGGGTGCTAAGAAACAAACTCAGGTCCTCTAGAAGAGTAATACAAGCTCTGAACCACTGGGCCAGCACCCGAGCCCCGGAAGTTATTTTGAAAATGTTTACCAAACATTTATCTCACTGGTGTGAGATAAGGAAACCACACAAGAAGAGTGCCACAGCTAGTACAAAGAACACAAATACTTCCTGGTTTTTTTAGTTTATTGTCATATAATGTAAGGCTGAAATGCACTGTTACAACATCTGACCATCTAAGACTTCACAGACAGCTGCATGCTTTTGCTGTTGACAGACTGCTTTGGAGCATCTGAACATTACCACCTGAAAACTAAAGAATCTAGTGATTTCCACCCTTCTGGGAGCACAGTCATTTACTTCCTCATTTTCACCCCTTTTCTGGGAAAGGTCAGCTCACTCACCAGACGCTGACCACCACAGGAGCGGTCCAAGCTCTGAAGATCCAGTGATTGGAACCCACAGATTAGCATAATTAGTAGTCCAGTGCTGGGCTTTAATGTTTGAAGAACAGCAAATACCAAATGTTTTAATACCAAATAGAGGATTATTGTTTCTATGAGGGAATGACTCTCAACTAAAGCCACCTTGGCTCAAGCTGTCTGTGCTCAGACTCAGGAGGAGGATGCTCCATTCTTAAGGCTCCTTCCAGCACCACAGGCTTTAGAATCAAGCAAGACAATGTCAGCATTCCACAGTAGCCATCACTTTGAACTGCACATTACACTAAAACATACAAAATGTAAGCATTCTGTCACATATCAGCTCTTGGCCACAAACAACAGGGCATGAAAAGCTATACAAGGACAAAACACCACACAACTTTTGGAGATTCCCATTATCCAGGTGTTAAAGAGATGGTGATGACAAGTTCCAAACTTTGCATCCAGTGTTTGCTTCCAACTTTCTATTTTATCGTCTTCTGGTGCCACCATATGCTAAAGATGAGAGAAAGAAAGTCTGCTTTAGCTTTTCAAAACATATGAAAGCTGCTTACAAAGCTTCAGAAGTTGAACATGTTTCTTGTCAGCAACCAAGCAAGCTATGAGAGAAAGTTACACCACGAGGGGGAACAGGATGGTGTGGGACAAGGCAGATCCTCTCATAGTCTCCTAACCTCACACACTTGCTCTCAGGAAACCAAAGAAGGGCTTCGTTGTAAGCCAAGGAACAGGAAGCAATATGCCACCATGCAAATAACCATGGAGATAGGCAAATGCCTTGTTTCCCACCACCTCTAACATGTTTTGTTGTTTTTTTACATTCTATCTTTGCTTTCTATAATCTTTAGAATAAATATTATAATCATTCTGCTGACCTTTTTGAAAGTGTAACTCAATCTATTTTTGGAATTCTCTTGAAGTTGAGAGGCCAGACTTCTACAAACTTTTGAAAGTCCTAGCTTAGAGCTTAAAGGAGTCCAAAGCTAAACATCAGTACACTCTAGCATCTAGGCAGGCTTAATTTCGAAGCCACTTTTAGGAAATATTTAAAGTGTGAAGGAGGTGGAGTATGATTTAGGTTTCAGTCTCAGCTAACTGTGCTGCTCACACACAAGCACTTTAGGTCCTGAAGCTGCTGTGTACCTCAGCAGGGACACCTGCTTTTACCTGATGCTGTTCTGGTTCTCGAGTCTGTACTTGAGGATGCAGAATAGCTCCCTGTGCCTCCGCCTGGTGGTGAGTAAGACCGACTGTTCCAGGTGCCAGAATAGGAAGGAGGGCAGGGTGGGTAGGGCCACGAGTCTGAGAAGGGGGTCGCCGCCCTTGAAGACAGAAAGGTGAGTTAGGCATCTTTTCTTCTGACTACAATTTTTAACCACTTCCTTGTTTCTAAGTCATCAGAAAACAGCACCTTTACCAAATATTTTTTTCCTGACTGTTCTGATATGTGAGGTTACCATGACACATGTTGTATTTACTTCTGCCAGTTGTAACAACTGCTGTGGGAATAGAAAATTGTAGGAAGCAAATATTCCTTCTTTATGAATTCCCAACCACAGACATTCTAAAACCCACCTCAACTCTTTTCCATGCTTCCCTCTATCATTCTACCTAGACAGATTGCCAACTGTCCCTCCCCAATAGCTGTGTCCTCCTCCGCCTTCTCACTTGCTCAGATGTCAGGCAGACAGACAGCCTCTCTCCTAACTCTTAGGACAGGAGAGGAAGGAAGACAACAAAGGAAAATAATAGTCATAGTACTGACCAAAGCAAACCAAAGCTTGGTGCCATCCCCTCTATGCAAAAATCGCATTCAGTAGGGCAAGATCACCATCATCTGTTCTCCTTAAATTCAAACTGTAAGCAAAACAAAGGTGCCCTGATGGAACTAAGAGCAAATGGGATGAGTGCAAAGCTTACCTATTGCTGCCAAACAGATATCCTAGCAATCCTCCAGCACCCAGGCCAGTCCAGAAGCCCGGCCCTGAACTGTCACAGCCTTGTCCTGTAAAAGCACTCCCAAAGCCAGAAGCTGCACCATAGCCAGGGTTCTGTGGTCCTTAAAAGAAGATGCACATTATTAGATTAAGCGTCTTCCTACACAGGTGACATTTCATTGTCTCATCTGTACAGTACTACTACTTACTAACAATGCTCAGCCCTCAGCCCACGAACAAGCCGAATTCCAAAGGGCTATTTATACAATATTGACTTATAATTCAGAACACATTTCCCATAGTCAGAGAGAGAGAGAGATTTCTAGGACTTGAAAGGACAGTCTTCCTATTATGTGCCTTGCTCAGGATGAGCTTCTAGATGACAACCCCCTTTGAGAGTCTCCATTCCAATGCTGTGAAGCTCTGTGAGAACTCCCAGTAAAAACAGTACCTGTCTCTAATGGGAAAGGGAGCCTGACAGTTATCAATTACAATGTCAGACTATAAACTCCTTCTGCTTAGAAGAAACTGCAAACATGGATACACCTAGAAAAGCATGCTAATCTTAACACTATGAAACAATAAGCTCACTATCTGTTCCCTCCATGTAACCACCACCCACATCAATAAGCCGTTTTAGCACCTCAGACAGCTTGAGAAAGAGCCCAATAGATAACCTGTATGCTATGAGATAAACAGTACTCAGACTTCCTATTCTTTAATTCTGTCCATTCCATGACCATGCATGTCAGTGCCCATGGAAGTCAGAAGACGGCATCAGATACTCCTGAGACTAGATTTCTTTTTCTTTTCTTTTCCTTTTTTTAAAAAGACAGCTAAAAGCTGTAGGTCCTCTGCAAGAGCAGTAAATGCTCCTAACCACTGAGCCAACTCTTGAGCCCCTGGATATTCTTTTATAAAATGGCTCTTTGAATCCTCTGCCTAATTTTAGATTATTACATTTCTTTATTTGGGGGTGTACACAGCAGCACAGCATGCGTGTAGAGAGGTCAGATGACAACTTTCAAGTGTCAATTCTCTCCTTCCACCCTCTGCTCCTGAAGCTCCAACGCAGCTCGCCAGGCTTGGAGGCAAGCACCTTAGTCACTGAGCCATCTAGCCGACCCCTCTGCCCAGTTTTAACAAGTCTGTCTTTTCTCAGATTTGTGGATGCCTTGTCAGCAGTATAGGTTACAAATCTCGTCTTTTAGGTTATGAGCCTCGCTGTTAATGGACCATCTCTCCAGCCCAGGCTTTACAAATTCTTTATCTAAACCCATAGCCTGCCCCTTTCATTTCTTACCACAGTTTCCTGATAAACATTTAATTTAAGTAAAGTCTAGTTTATCTATCTTTCCTTTTCAAGCTAGTACTTTTTGTGCTATTAAAGAAATCTGTCTAGTCAGGCGTAATGGTGCACACCTTTAGTCCCAGCACTTGGGAGGCAGAGGCAGATTTCTGTGGGTTTGCCAGCTTGGTCTACAAAGTGAGTTCCAGGACAGTCGGGGCTCCATACTGAGACCCTGTCTCAAACAAACACACAGAAACACACACGCACACACAGAAGAAAATGTTACTATATTTTCCTATTTTATTCTAGTAAGTTCTTTTACTCTCAGTTAAATTCTATAATATTAATGCGTGAAATGTGGGGTACAGTATGAAGTAGAAATGAAGCGCATGCTTATTAACAGTGCTCACTGCATGTTCCAGCTAAATGGTGACCTGCGTTACCAGGCATCTTCAGTGACAGCAACCACAACACACTCTCAGAAGAGCGCAGCAGTCAGGCACCCGGCTCAGCTGAGCAGGTGCCGTGCGAGACTGACAATTTCGCGTCCTACGCCACAGAAACCCAGAAAAAGGTGGAGGGAGGGAGGGAGCATTCATAGTTACCCTCTGCCCTCCACACCAGCAGCACAGCACACCTAACCCCACACTCACACAGAGCGCACATATACAAAATATGTCTTTTAATTTGTCTTTAAAAAAAGAAGGGCTGCAAAGGTAGCACTTCTGCTCTTCCAGAGGACCCAAGTTTGGTCTCTAGCACCTAGAGAGACAGTTAAATAAAATCACCTGGACCAAACTATTACATGCTAGTCCCAAGGTATTGGACACCCACTTCTGCCCTCCGTGGACACCCACACATGTACAAGGACACTTTTTGAAAAGTCTTTTTTTGAAAAAAGAAGTTTTCCTTTTTTTTTTTTTAATCTAATTAAGTAGACCAATGTTTTGTTTCCCGATACAACTAGTCAAATCTTCAGAAACAGGCCCAAGACTCAGCTGCTCACATGCACCCCACTTACTGCCCCAGAGCAAGGAAACATACCTGTGAACTCAGACTTAAAGCCTGGGGGAGGCGCTCCTGCAGCACTGGTAAACCTGGAATAGTGCTGGGAATACGGCGGGTACTCAGAATATGGCGGAGGAGAACCCTGGCCATCACTAAGGAACAGCTTATAAACCACATAGGCAAGAGCAAGGAGTACCCCAATGGTAACCAATCCGCCAACACCAGAGGAATCAGAGGAGTACAGCTTGTGATAATAATCAGAGAAGCCTTGGTGTTTCCCAGACTCCTTCAGTTTCTTCAGGCCCAGTTCCGTGTAATCCAAGTTGTACTCCAAGCCACAGGAACCCCTGAGTACATACTGGTCTTCAGAGGACTCATACCCTTCACAGCTCACCACAGTTTTGCCAAATTTGTATGCAATATCCAAATCGGTCTTACATTCCCACTGCAAAAAAAAAAAAAAAAAAAAACAGAAACAGCCTGTAACAACCAAAAGATTCTTTTCCTTCCATATATATCACATTGATTATGCAGCTGTCACAAAACTGCAAAAGAACAATCCACAAAATTCAACACCATGAGTATGTGTGGAAGAGACAGACTCAGAGCTTCAAGACAGCGGTTCCACTAGCATTCTACTTATGCTGGTGTGTATACATGAGCATTCTTTTTGTCACTTTTCCTTATTCCCCAGATATACATTACACATTCTTCTGTACATCTCATGATTTGAATAGGTATGGCCCCATGGCCTCATGTTTTAAATGCTTGGCCCATAGGGAGTGGCACTATTAGGAGGTGTGGCCTTATTAGAGGAAGTGTGTCAATGTGGAGGTGGGCCTTGAAGTTATACATGTTCAAGCTATGCCCAGTGAGTCTCTTGCCATTGCCTGAGGATCAAAATATAGAACTCTGGGCCTCTTCTCCAGCACCATGTCTGCCAGCACACTGCCATGCTTCCTGCCATGATGATAATGGACTAAACCTCTGAAACTCTAAGCCAACCCTAATTAAATGTTTTCCATTGTCATGGTCATGGTGTCTCTTCACAGCAATGAAACCCTAACTAAGATAGTATGTTAGTTATTCCATAATTTATAAATCTGAGGCAAATAGTCAAACTATTACATGCTTGCCACTGCTGTCGAAGGAACTTCCTCTACAGCTAGATTGTCTAGATGTTAAACATCAAAGGATCAGCATTAGGGAAGAGCCCCTAATTGGTTCTCCAATACCATCACATGGTCAGCTCTAAAAATATACATGCTTGCAAAACTAAGAGGACTCAGTGCCACATATTTTATAATACATACATACATACATACATACATACATACATACATACATACATATAATGATTAAAGAAAAAGCCATGAATTTGGAGGAGAAAAGGGAAGGGGGAAATGTAATAAATACAATAAAAGGATTTTTAAATCAGCATCAGATATATAAGATCTAATAGCTACATACAACAGATCACTTTCTGAAAAACAAAACTTTCCATACACAGTTTCTAAAAACCATGGGCTGACTTTATAGGGTCTAATCCTAACCAACAATCTTCTTGAGCTTTTTTAAAGATAATATTTAGAAAACTGCAAAAGAATTCATAATGCTTAAATTTTACCAGAGAGAGAGAAACAAAGAGACCCAGAGAAAGCAGGCATGTTCAGCCAGACATGATGGTCCAAATTTATAATGCAAACGCTGTGGCATGCTGCAATAGGAGGCTGAAGTCCGAGACCAGCCAAGCTGCCCACCAAGTTCCAGAGCAGCCAGGGAACACAGTAAAAATCTCACTTCAAAAAAACAAACAAACAAAACTGAAACTAGAGTGTAGATCAGGGACTGAGCAAATATCCAAGGTTTGAGCTCCGGCACCACCAAAAACTAAGTAAGCAAGCAGGTGAAACTTCAATTCTTTAATTTTTGCTGAACAGATAAAATGCTTCCCTCACAAGGTTTAGATACAAGCAAGGGCACTGCAACAGGTTCTCCTGCCCTTTTGTTAGGTTTTGCTCAAATTATGCTGCTCTTTCATGTTCAGGTGCACTGCTGTACTGTTTCTAACAAACAGCCTCACTGAGGTGGATTCACACACAATTCATGTAGCTGCACAACCATTACTATAACCAACTTCATAATCTATTCATCATCCCCAAAGAACCCTCAAATCCATAAGCAGCTGCCCACTTCCCCCTCCCAGCTCCCCATGCTGTCTGCTTTACCTCCCCCTACTAGGACATTTCTTGTCAAGAGGATCACAGGCATGTAGGTCTCTGTAACTGTCACCTTTCCTTTAGTAGAATATTTTCAGAGTGGTCCATGTTTCAGCCTCAATCAGCACTGTGTTCTTTTCAATGACTAAACAACACTCCACCCCACCTTATGAATGGACTACATCACATTACTCATTAGCAAAGGACTTTTAGGCTGTTTCTATATTTTAGCTATTTGAATATTCCTACAAATACTTGATAGTTTTTGGGAAGAAATATGTCTTCAGTTCTCTTGGATATATTCTTAGGAGTGGAGTGACTGAGGCATCTTTTTTCTTTTCTTTTTTTGGTTTTTGGGATTTTTTGAGATAGGGTCTCACTATGTAGCTCTGGCTGTCCTGGAAGTTAACTATGTAGACCAGGCTGGCCTCCTGAATGCTGGGATTAAAGATGTGCCACCACGCCCAGCTTTGGAGCATCTTTCTTGATTATTTCTTTCAATCCCAAATGTTTTTTAGTTACATAATATGCAATTCTCTTTTTGCTGTTGTCATTACTATGTTATTATTAATTTTGTCTGGAAAAGGACTTCTGAATTTACTGGGTTAAGTAGGCAGAACACGCTGAACCTACAACAGTACATGCTAAGGTGGTTTCTGAGTACTGCATTGCAACTTAAATTGCTGCTACTAAACAACACACGAGAGGCTCTACACTTCATGATTCCTTCCTAAGTCAGCACCTGTGTCTCCCCTGAGTCTTCATCAGTGCCCCAACCAGACACAGCTGGTTGTGTGTCTGGTTGAAATGTGTGGGCAGCACAGCCAGCTGTGATGCCTACACCCCCAAAGTGAAACAATGTGTTTCTGTTGGTATGTGTACAATTCAAGTATTTATTTTATCTCTCCTCCTAGATGAATTTCCTGCTATCCTAGTCATGTGGTGTATGACACATTTATTATGCACACTGTTAGCACCCCCAGCCCCACCAGGACTGTAAAAGTAATTTAGCATGGATGTGAGACGTCTGCATTAGCCAGGATTCAGTAATAATGGGAGGAGGCTGTGAAATCATTACCAAGCTAGAGCCAGGAATGCCTTGAATGCAAACACTTGGGAGGGAGAAGCAGGGAGAGCACTGTGCGCTCGAGGGCAGCCTGATCTACACAGCCAGCTCCAAGAAACCAGGCCTACATGGTGAGACCCTGTCTCAAAAACCAAACAACAAAAACTGTGAACTACAAAGGCCATGCATCAAGGTTCTATCAAGCAGGAACATTAGTTTTTCCAAAACTCATGTTTCAATAAACAGTTTAAAATCTGCTGTGGATTAAAATTTGCTGTGTATCAATTTCTTCCAAGATAAACCTCCATCTTGGAGGGAAGCTCATTAAGACACAGGCTTAGGTCCAACTAGCGGTGACACATTCCATCCTGCAGGGGAGCTCACTACGCCCTGACGGTAAACAACTAGGACTGCCCTTGTGTATACTCTAGCATGAGGACTGCTAAGAGATGCTCTCAAACCAGCGAGCTCTGGACAACACTCCCCCCCCCCCCGCCACCCGTCCAGCCACCTGGAGGTACCCAGCCACCATGAGCTAGGACCCATGCTGGTGTGGGCTTCTGATGATGCAGCGGTCTGTGAGGCACATCTGCTCCCGTTAAGTCACCCCTCGCCCAAGCTCCTGTAGGCAACCTCAGTAAAACTCACTGGTTCACCAACTTGGACGTTATGGTGTCCTTACTTTGGTCTGTCATTAAGCTCCCTATCTGGAGTGAGCGTCGTCTGCTCAGTCTCCCCAGGAATAGTGTCACACAACATCACTCCACTGAAGCTGTTGCTGAGGCAGTAGCTGTTACCTGTACATCGTATCCGTCCCAGCCTTTGTTCTGGCACTGGATCACTTTGGGGGTAAAGGCATCACAACCGGCTGTGCCTCCAACACATTTCAGCTGTGGAATAGGGTCCAGCCTGCGGGAGGTGGTGTAGCGGTCATGGTGGAGGGTGAGAGCTTTCACATCCCGCAACAGGATTCTGTCTGGAATGAGAACACGCGTCAAAGTGAGCACCTCTTACTAAAACAGACTCATCCTATGGACAGTTTCAAAGTCAAGCATCGGTCGCCCCTCCCCATCGCCCTGCTTTTGGGGTAACTGAGAAGACTCAAGGGCACCCCACAGCACAAACTCAGATGACCACATTTAAAACCTCTCATCACTGTAAGCTAGATATTTCTTCACCACTAGTTCTGGATAATTTTTCCTAATTCCAAAGTTCAATAATATAAAACTACTGTATAATAATATTCATAGTTAATTAAAAATGATAAAAACACACAAAATGTCCCTACAGGCAATAATTTAAATATCTACCCTCTGGTAAAAAGGCAGATTCTAACCTAGATTTTTTTGTTATAATTAGAATGCAATCTCTTTGTTCTTTAATTTTTTCCACTCAGTTATTGTGGGTCCCGCTGTGCATTTGCACATGTCTGGGCACGTATGTGGAGGACAGAACACTCTACGGAGTCCATGCTCTCCTTCCACTACTTGGGTCCTCGTCTGTAACTAAGGCCATCAAGCTTGGCAACAAGAGCCTTTGTGCACTGAGTCATCTTGCCAGCCCTATTATTATTATTTACACAAAATTACAGAAAACCATTTTTAAGCACATAAATAGTGTACTTTGAGCATATTCCTCCCATAGCCTCCCCCTTTCTATCCCTCCCCATCCCATTAGTACCCTTTTTACCCCAGACAGCTACATTCCACTTTCAGCAACCATTACACATATACTAAGCATCTGTATTATCTAGAATCCACAGCTGAGCGAAAACCCATGCAACCAGTCTGGAACATCTCCAGCTGTATGAACTTTCCTGCAAATGGCAGAACTTTATGGTTGCAAAAACTGCACTGTATATGTAAACCTTTTTCCTTACCCGTTCACGAACTGTGCTAGACACCAGGTGGGTCCCATAGCTCAGTTACTGTGACTGCAGTAACACTGACCACAGGCATCGTGTCATGTGTTGGCTTGGAGTCTTTGAGCAAATGGCAAGAAGCAGTAGAGCTGGATTTTTTTTCTTAACTGTTGTTGGGGTTTTGTTTTGTTTTGAGGTACCTCCCTACTGCTTCCCTAGTCATATAGTGTATCCTGTAGTATGTAGCGTCTAAAGAAACTAGAACTTATGTATCAAACTAAACAAATGACAGAAACATTTTACACAAAATGGAAGTTACAGAGTGTTCAGCTTTATACAAACCTTGAAAACAGGTAAAGTACTACATACTAATGTTTACACACATTAATGTTGACAGATGTGCTTAATAGTGAGAAACCATGCAGAGGAGTAGTCAGATACAAAATGCAGATGAGTATCTCGAGGAGGGGAAGACACTGGCTCTGTAAGAATGACCTATGCTCCACTGTCAGTATGGGATTTGTGGAGCTCATCAAAGAGTCACAGAGAAGCAGAGGGCACTAGGCCCTCTCCTACAGCCACATGCTTACCTGGTGCCTGCTTACCTCAAAACTCAGAGAGAATTGGGAAGCTGCAGGCACTTGGTCAGAAAGGGGGCAGTCTCAAGCCACAGAATATTCATCAGAGAGTTTGGGCAAGGGGGCTATGCTAAAGGACCACAAACACTGCCTCTTTAAAGTACCAGTCCTTGGGAAAATGATGGCAAGAATGTCTCACCAGCAGAGTCTTTAAACCACTATCTTGGCCAAACCAACAGGCCAGCCATTTTGATGTTTCTACACAGGCAACCCTTTCTGCAAAAGCATATATTAAAAAAAAGCTCTGCTTTCAGCAGTTTAACATATTAGAGGGTCGTGTTGCCCCCAATTCTATCCAAGTGTCACCTTTATAAAAGCCAATCCTGCTTTCTCCAACTTCCCATATCTGTGATGACCACAATTAACAGCCTGAAAAATACCCAATCAGACTGTGACAAAAATAGACTGTTTAGATCCTTGTCAGTTTACCTCATAAAAGCCGAAACATGCAGTAAATATCATTCTGTAAACTTTTTCCTTAGCTTGTGTAAGGGTTTGCATGTGCCCACGCCATTGCTCATGTGTGGAATAAGAGGGTAGCTTCCGGGAGCTGGCTCTCTGGGTTGATGAAATCAAACTCATCAGGCTTGTGTGGCAAGTACCCTTACCCACTGGGCTATCTCACGGGGCCTCTTCATTTCTTAATCGTAATCACGGTCAGTCATTTATGTTGGCAGATACAGATCTCCATTTATGCTTTACCGATCAGACAGACATCAAAACAATTTTAAAATCAGCCTTACAAACTAAAGGGCCGCAGGAGCAGGTTCAATATTTCCAGCCACGAAAGGTTAACTGGCTGAAGAGCCGAGGGTTCTGATGTACTCTTGTGGCTTCCACAGGAATCAACACATGCATGCACACACACAGATCTTGTGTATGTAAAAACAGTTAAATATAAATATACGCTGTAACCATAACTGACAATTAGACAACTAGAAAAGCTAAGCGATACATTGGCTCTAATGCTCAGAACTGTTAACTAACAGGCACTTCAATGGGGGTAAGGACACATTAGTGAACAAACGGTGCTGGGAAATGGATAATGTACAGGCGGGGCAGGTCTGCCGCACAGCTTGCACAGTTCCTCCCTAGCCCTGCCCTTGGAGACTGAGGCCAGAAAAGCATGAGTTGAAGGCAAGAAAATCTTTAATTGGGCTAAAGATCTAGATCCTGTCTCAAAAAGCAACTAAACTGATAACCACAAGCAGAAGGCGGACCAGCAAGATAAATGACTCATTGAGAGCCGCTCCAAGGGGATCAAGTGACTTCAGTCTTACAAATGGGGAGGGCTGATAGCCATGGCGATGAATCGATCACAGACTTCTTCTGGTCAACAGCTGGGTCCATGTTACGTTTTTCAACATTCAGCTTCAGTGAAAAAGAAAGGAAGGAGGCTCCAGAATTTCATCTGATTCCAGACAACGACGGAAAGCTAAGTGTGCCAGCCGAGACAGCCTGTAAATCTAAGCAGTGGTTGTTCTGAGTCCTCAGATGAATGAATCGTCTGGGAAGTCCTTCCACAGGGACCTGACCTGACTAAATGCAGTTTTGTAATTTGTGCTTTTCTCTCATCTTTTTAAATCTAGTTTATTAAAGAATCAACACAGTCTTGTCCCAACATTTAGGAAACAGAAGCAGGAGAGTCAGGAGTTCAAAGCCAAGGTCTGCTACACATTAAGTTCAAGGCCAGCCTAGGCAACGTGAGGCCTTGTTTCAAAACAACCGAAGACGGGAGTTTTAACGTTTTATTTGTATGTGTCTGAGTATGCAGCAGTAACAGGTGGAGGTGAGCGGACAGTCCGCGAACACTGCTCTCTCCTTTCGCGGTGTGGCCCAAGGAGCAGACCTAAAATCATTAGACTTGGCAGCAAGCACCTTCATCCCGGCTCTCATCCACAGTTTTTTGGTTGGTTGGTTGGTTAGTTTGGTTTGGTTTTTCGAGACAAGGTTTTTCTATGTAGCCCTGGCTGTCCTGGACTCACTCTGTAGACCAGGCTGGCCTCGATCTCTGAGAGATCCGCCTGCCTCTGCCTCCTGAGGGTGGGGATTAAAGGCATGCACCACCATGGTTGGCCCCTCCAAACAGTTCTAATAAAGACTTTCCATTGCAAAACTTGGCTCATCCTCTTTATATAAATCACAAAACTCTCAAAAATAAAGGCAGTGTGTTCAGTGGTACTTTTTTTTTCAACTTCTGAAATAGTATTACTTGTTCACATTTATAAATAAATTATGCTGCATTTTAAACACAAATATAGATCAAATCATGAAAAATATGAAAATGAGAAATCATGATACTCAAGTGAATATCAAAAATTAACTCATTGCTAAAGTGACAACCAATTACTTTATTACTTTAAACATAGTTATTAAAGATTAAAAAATTTAACACACAGCCTGATTTCCCAGTAGGGAATGTAATCATAAACAGCCCTGCTGATAAGGGAGAACCCTACCTCATCCTTTATAATTCTAGCTAATAATTAAAACTGACAGAATTAGAAATTTTTTCACTTTCATTTTCTAACCCTTAGGAGACAGATTCAGACAAGGAGTAATTAGTGGTAAAACTCTGGTACATCGCCAAGATCATTACACAAATTATTCCCCAATCCAAGTGAGCAAAGGGCAGCTTCACAGGAAAGATAAGGCCGCTTTAATGCGGTGACTAACCAGAATGGCAAAAACAGAGTAAATTGATACTGTATCTCTTATGGAACCAAAAGGATTTACTCTCACTTGAATGGTTTGCTAGCCTTGGCTACAAGGGAGTTTGAGGTCAGGTTACATAAGCCCTTGTCTCAAAAAAAATTAAGAGGAAAAAACAAAAACAAAAAACTACAAAGACCCTGTTTCAAAAAACCATAAATAAATAAATAATAAATCACTGAGTTTAATCCAGTTCCAAAGGTGCAATCAACAGCAGTTCTGATCGGACAGCTTAGGAAATGCCTGGAGCTCACATCTGAAGAGTCCTTTTTAAGGAAGGTTTGACTTAAACCTAATCAAAACCGTCACATCATTCTTCATGCATCTTCATTATGTAGTATTAACAAACTCGGCTTCAGACAAGCACAGTACTTCAGCGAACAACAACAAAGAAGGAAAAATTGTCTTTAATAAGTGGAAGAGACATAACTGATGATTCTAGAAGAATCTTCACCTGCAGCCACATACAAACTTAATTCAGTATGGGATGAAAATCTAAAATCTAAACACTTCGGGAGTCCAAGCAGAAGCACCCTAAGTTCACAGCTAGCCTGAGCTACATTTGAAATGGTGTCTCAAAAAAAATAACAATAATCTAGGGGCAGGAGAGATGGCTGAGTAATTAAGAGCACACACTGCTCTTCCTGAGGACCTGAGTTCAATTCCTGTCACCCACATCAGGCAGCTTACAACTGCCTGTAACCCCAGCTCAGAGGGATCCCACACCTCTGACCTCTGTGAACACTTGCATTCATATTCATATACACATACCACACCCGTACCCCCCACACACACACACACAATTAAAGTAATAAAAATAAATCCTTAAAAAATTTAAAATTTCCAGGGGGCTGGAGAGATGGCTCAGTGGTTAAGAGCACTGTCTGCTCCTCCAAATGGACCTGGGTTCAATTCCCAGTGCCCACATGGCAGCTCACAATTGTCTATAACACCAATTCCAAGGGATTTCACACCTTCACACTAATGAATATAAAATTAAATAAATTATTTTAAAAAAATTTAAAATTTCCAAGAACTATATTAAAGTTTGCTACACTAAATACAAATTACTGCCTCATACATAAAAAAGAAAAACAAAGCAATAAAAATGGTCCATGATTTTAAGTTACACTATTAATAAGCTAACTGTGAAGAAGAATAACCTTAATTTACTACATAGGAGGGTTGTTGAATAATGTGAGGAACACTAAACTAAATTGACAACAGCAACTTAATAAGACTTTGGTCAAGGTGATAAATTTATTCATAAGTTTCATCACCTTTAAAATTAAGATATTAATCTTAAATTTACTGTAAACTTTAGATACAATTTATTAAAATTGTCTGGCAGAATATTTGATGAATACTAGTATGAGTATAGAATTGAGTATGAGGAATAGTAGGAAGAAAATTTTAAGAACTATTTACACAGGAGTTTAATTACCATAACCCCAGAGCAAAATTCTCCAGAGAGCCTTCAGGTCTAAGAAAATGCTCACCATATACCCACCTAGCTTGTTAAACCAAACAAAGCACACACAGGATCCCCTGAACTTCTGACTCAAAATTCACCATCTTTTCTCAGGTGTCAGGCTTAAGATAAATGCAACCACGGCCGCTGAACTCAATTGACCCTATACCTCCCAGCATCTCAGGAAAATACTAACACTTCAGTCACTCAAGCCAGAATGTTTGCATCATCCTTATCCCCCTTAAAAAAAAAAAAAAAAAAAAAAAAAAAAGACAGGGTTTTTCTGTATAGCCCTGGCTGTCTCGGAACTTGCTCTGTAGATCTCTAAACCCTGCATGTTGGAATTAAAGGTACGACCCACTACTCTGCATCCTCATCTTCCCCCCATCCCTTACCTCATCAGAGTACCCAACTTCAAAACAGAGAGATAATCCAACTCCACTAACTCTCCCCTGACCTAAAAGGGTCCCTGTTCTTGGAAACTACTATAAAAATCTCCTTTCCACAAAGCTCCAGTTTCCCTCCCACCCATTTTTCAGCCTGTTTTCCAAGGGATAGCCCACATGAACTTTCAAAAATTTAAATCACATCATTTACAGCTCTCTCCCTTCAGGTTTCTGAAAAACTTTCATGGTGACTTCTCCCCTGATCAATGTATATTTTTTTAAGTACCCCCTCTGCCTGCAAACCCCACTCTCCTTGCTTTACCATTGTCCATAACTCATTTCACCACATGACCAGCTATTTACATGTTGACTGTGTACCCTCCTCAATAGACAGAAATCCCCTGGGGACACGAAAATGTTTTCTTCACAGCCATACTCTCAGAATCCAAGGCATAGTTAGCTGAGCCGTTGTTCTCAAGCTTCCTAATGCTGAGACCTTTTCATACAGTCCCTCATGTTGTGGTGACCTTGACCTATAAAATTACCTTCGTTGTAATTTTATTACTGTTTTTTGATGGTCTACGCATCCTGTAAAAAGGGTCATTCCATGCCGGTCAGGGGGTCTCAACCAACCCACAGGTTGAGAATTAGCTAAATAGTCCTTGCCCTGTTTAATCTGAGAATGGGGTTTTTCCTCCCCTCCTAGACATATTATTAAGTGTTTTTATATTACCTAAACACAAAGTAAACAAAAATAAATTGAGGAGTTGCTTAACCACAACTTAATAATCAATATTCCAATAAAGCACCTTCATAAAACAGTTCCTCAAATGAGGTGGAAACCAACCGAATTAGTACTGCAAAATATTCTGGTGCTTTCTGTTCCAGAACAATGATTTTTACAGCCAAAGTAGACAAAGAATTGCCAGGAAGCGGTTCACCATTAATTTAAATGTGGTTGTTTTTCTTCTAATTCCCCTGAGTCTACATCTCTATACTTCCCCAGGCTTTGGTGAATTCTAAGCAGGTCTCTCATTTTCACACAACTTTCTAGGATTGCTTAAAAGAAAGTGTTCAAGCAGTTTGTACCAAACAGCGTGTCTTAACTCCTGACAAGGCATCGTTATAACTCAGCGTGGGGACCAACTGCACAGCCTCACTTCAGCACGCACCAACAAAATCTTACAAAAATACACCTGTTGCTTAATGCAAGTTCCAGGCATGCTCGTCCACTGCTGTATTTTCCACGGCTGACAGCTTTCCCCTCCAGACCAAAAAAAAAAAAATGTCGTTTTAACTGACAGCTAGCTGAGTTCTACATTTTAATAACAGCTATACATAAAAAGAGCGCCCCCCCCCCGTAGTAAATTCTCCTGTACTAGCACCGGAAAGTTAAAATTTATTTTAAATTCCCACGTACCGTGAAAAGTATGAAGAAAGCTAGTGTAAACAACGCGGTTGACTGCACTAATTAGAATAAGCGGCAGGAATCCAGCCCACAAAACCAATACAATCCAGAATTCCCAGGTTTGCGGTTCTGGCCACTACTCATGACTCAGAGACTGCTGGTGGCATGGTAACCGCGAGCCATAGCAACAGACAGCCATGACAACAGTGGGCGATTATGGCATCAAACAGCCATGACAACAAGACAAGATGCACAGGTGAGGGTCAAACTTGCCATCGGGACTCAAGGATGCGGCCTAGTCCGAGACAAGTGGACAATCTGGAAGTCCGAGGACCTGGAGAACTTTTCAGAACACATTGGTGCGCCCCGCCCACTCCCAGAGGTCCTCACCAGACCAGCAAAGCAGCCCGGAGAGGACAGACCGGAGGTAAACCGGTCAGAAGGGCAGCGAGGAAGCGGACGGGCGCACGCAGGGCGGCACTCACCAGGGTCGTTCCAGCACAGCGCAGGGCCGGCCACCAGCAGGAATGACAGCAGGCGCAACAGCCGGCAGCACGCGGCTCCCGGGAGGCCGACCGCGGCCACCGCCATGGCGCCGGGTGAAGACGGCGCTCGGCGGCCCGTGACCCGCTGCGGACCCGTAACCCGCTGCACAGCGACCCCAAGAACCCACAACCGTGACCGCACCGACCGACCGCGGCGCGGCGCAACGACTCTCCGTCCTGCGCCACTCTGACGTCACTGCGCTGCGACACGTATGCGTCCGTAATTGGTCGCGCTCTACCCGGCCCCTAGAGCTCCGCCGCCTTGTGGGCGGGGCCAGACAGGGCGCTGTCGCGTGGGCGGAGTCTGGGCACTGACCCGGTAAAGCGCGTTGTGTCTGGCTGGCGAGTGCGTGCACGTTCCGGAAGGTTCGTTTACCGCGAAGCTGCCAAAGTTTTAGAGGCTAAAAACTTTCTGGAAGGGAAGTCGAGAAATACTAGGAATACTTATATCCAAAATCTCTGTAGCCTCTCTGAAGGGCGTTACTTTGAGGGTTGGTAACGCCACCCTGCTTAGGACTGGTGTTCTCTTACTGTGTACTAAATAGGAACCAGGTGAACGGTACTAAAGGAATGACGTTGTGTTTTCCGAGCTCGGGACCTTCGCACAGTACCTGAAACATGAAAACCCTAAGAATGTACGAGAAGCCAAGAGGAGACAATGTTGTATGAATAGACAAATAACCCAGACAAAATGTTTCTCTGAGTTTCTTGGATGCGTTCATTCAACAAGTAGGTGTTGAATGCCTAATATAGCATAAAATAAAATATAAAATAAAACAGCCGTGTTTTAGTCATGGGAAATAGCAAGGTCCTTGTATTTGTATTTGAGGAAACAGGATGACGTAGCACAGGACAAACAAAAATAATAGGTAGTGGTAATTCTGTGATCAAAACTATAACAGGATAATAGGCACTGAGTGGCAAATTCTGGAAGAGTAGGGCCCAGGAAATGACTTTGAAGCTTGAGACATGAATGATTAAAAAAAAAAAAAAAAAGCAAGGATCTAACCAGAGCCTGGGGCTTGATGGATAACACCCTCGTTCCTCCCTCCCACCCCCCACCCCCCGCCATCCCTTTACCGCACCCCACCCTCCCCCCACCCCCTCTGGCCATGTTTTGAGGAGCAGTCAGTCATGCACTCAGCCTGTTTTTTGGTTAGCATTTAACACACTTGTCAGTACCTACCAGGGAGGTACTGTAGTGGGTAGCGAGATACACTGGAGAATTTTTAAATTGGAGGCATGAGATAGGCAAGCAAGGCCAGTGAAGCAAAGTAATTTTCTGAACAGGGGGGGCCAGGAAATGGGAGGCTTTGAATGGAATCCAGCAATCTTAAAATACCGCAACGATAACAGAGAATTCTGTCCTTAATTTGGCTGATTTTATGGTGGGTATTAAGTATCCAAGCAAGCTGGCCAGGTAGACAAAGATACGCACACCCAAACTTCAAAGCCAGTGTAAATCTGGCCAGATTTACTGCAATAGAAAGAGGCAGGTAGGCATAAAATTTAGACAAGGCAAAGAGGAGGGAAGGACCAAACTGTGGGAATACTGCTGTTTCTATCTTGAGTAGAAGATCCTAGAAATAATCTGAAAAGAGAATTCTGCTTAAAAAAAGAAAAAAGAAAGAAAGAGAGGGCAGTGAGGTGGCTCTACAGATAAAGGCCTTGCTACAAAGTCTTGAATTTGACCCCTGACACCCAAATAAACTGGTTTGTTTGTTTTGTCAACTTGACATCAGCTAAAGTCATCTGGGAAGAGGGAATCTTACCAGATTGGCCTGTAGGAAAGTCTGTAGGATTATTTTCTTGATTAATAATTGGTGTGGGAGGACCCAGCTCACTGGCGGTCATGCCACAACAGGAGTAAGTAGTTCTGGGTGGTATAAGAAAGCAGGCTGAGCAAGCCAGAGACAACAAGCTGGTAAACAGTGTTCCTCCATGGTCTCTGCTTCAGCTCCTGCCTTGAGTTCCTGCCCTGACTTTCCTCAATGAGGAACTGTGAGCTATAAAATGAAATAAACTCAAGTTGCTTTTGGTCAGATGTTATAAACACAACAATAAAAAGAAAGCTAGGACAACATATAAAGATAAAAGGAGAAAATTCCATGTTGTTCTCTGACTTCTCCATGGTATGTCTCTCCCCACCCCCTACACATACACACAGTGTACAACAGAGAGAGAATAAAAAGGTAAAGGAAAAGGAGATAAAGTGAACAATAATGGTCCCTTGCTGGAAAATTGAAGCAAGAATAAAAGTAGCTTTTGTATTTTGCAATGTAGAATCACCTAATCACCTTTACAAGAAAACTTTTATTTGAGGCCCCTCCATGTGCCATTTATAGTTATAGACTGATTTAAAAGCAAGAAAGGATGTCCTAATTTATATTTTAATGGCAACTGAGCTAAATAAATAATTGATGCCCTAAAGAAGAAAATGGGTGATATGATGGGTATGGCCATAATAAAAAGAATGGTTAGATAAGATCCGTTCAGAAGCCAGGTTGAATGGGGATCTAAATCACATGAGCCTATGAGAGGGGGGAGGGGGTACTTTCCTCCTCTCTCTAGCCACAGAGTAGAACATTTCTGTGATCTAATGTGTTACGGAAGAATTTGTCTACACAGCAAACAGTTCTCAACTGGACACCACTCTGCTCTCCTAAACATCATTTTGATTCTGGTATATCTCCTTGGAGATAGTGTCAGATCTCATAGGTTCAGGGCTAAGTATATACAACTAACCCACACTTCAGGTGCCTGTCTCAAATCCTGTGTAGTCATATGAGATTCACCAGCTCACCGGCTGCAAATCAATTCTTTCTATAATAGACATACACACACAGAGAGAGAGAGAGAGAGAAAGAGAGAGAGACTCAGTGCAAGTCTGTCTGGAATGTGCTTTAGAGTACAATGAAAACCATTTGGAGGAGGGGACATAGGTAGGGAGAATAAATAAAGCAACACTATTGTTGAGAACTGGAAGTTCCTCATGGTATGTTGTTACAGCATACTCTCGTGCTTTGTATTTAAATGATTGCATGTGCCCTGAGTTTCTTACTGTTCTACAAGCAAACTCTCATGTGTACCAAGTGATGCTGTATAACCTACCTCAAAAATTATCCCTGATTGGCTGAATAAAGGCCTACATGTGGGCAGGGCAGAAGAAAGGTAGTTAGAGCTAAGGTTCAAGGGCTTGGATCAGAAGGATCTCAGGAGGGGGATGGCGGAAGGGAGAGAGACAGGAGAAGAGAAGAGAGCAGAGTCACCCGCCATAGATTAGGGTAAGGAAGAATCATGTGGCCAGGAGGACTTTGCTCTGAGGATCCATTATGGAGAGAAGCAGCCAACATGAAAAGCTTCTGCAAGTATTTATGGGGACTATGGAGGGGAAGTAGCCCAGATAGAAATAATTAAAACAGATGGCATGGGAGGCATGGATTATTATCTGCCCCGCCCCAGAGTTTGAGGCATATTAATCTAACAGGTGTCTGTGTCTTTTATTGATATGATAGCAAGTTAAAAATAAGCACTATAACAATCATATGACTTAATAATATTAATAGACATTTACTACAACAGTATGTAGAAGTTTACTGTACTATTATTGGTACTTTTCACATACAGTATTTAAATTTTTCCATAATAAAAGTTTTTTAGCAAAAACTAAAACTCTATGCCCTGTGTGAGTTGGTCTGTAAGAGTCAGAATGCCCACCTAATAGTGATGAAAAAAATATTAAAGTACATCTCCTTTAAGGAATTGTTTACGCATACGTGTGAGTGCTTGCATGTATGTATCACGTTTGCCTGGTGCCCCCAGAGGCCAGAAGATGGAATTGGATCTCCCGAAACTGCGGTTACAAGTGGTTATAAGCCGCTTCTATGGTGCTAAATTCTTTACAAGGGCACCAAAGGCTCTGAGCCATCTGTCCAGCTCCAAACATTTCCTAAAGCACTAGATACACAGCAGCTGACAACTAACCCCATCTCTGTGACCCCATCTGTGGTCTCCCCTCTGACCCCAACTCTGTGGCTTAACTTCAGATGTTAGGAAGTCACGAAAAGTAACAAAGAGTAACTATTATAGAAAACATTTAAAGAACACTTAAACAATTTATCATTAGCAAACATTTATCATAAGCAAACTTGAAAAACTGAAGAAAGCTTCTAACCATCTTCTCTTTTGGGGGCAATGATTTTCAAGCCATGGTTTTCACAGCAATTATTTTCAAGATGCATCGTAACATTTTATATTTCTGGGCTTTGCCCAAAAAAAGAAATGTAATGTAAATGTAATGTTCAAATAATGTAAAGTAGAATCTGGGAGTTAAAATAGCATCCCAAAGAATTCTGTTATAGGTGATCTTTGAATACGACATTTGAAAACAACATCTTTAAGATCTTAAGTTTCCAGTCCCTAGCAGTATCAGAAAACCAAATTAGCCATTTGAGTGATTAGTGGTAATGTTGGTTGGTTGGGTTTGTTTTGTTTCTTAGACATTATCAGGAAACTGAACTAGACCTTCAAGTGGTTATTGTGGTGTTTTGTTTTGTTTGAATTTTTGCTACAAAGACTCCAGTCTCCTGGGAAAGTTAAAGGAGGGCAATGTCCTATAATTCTGTGACTCTGGGAACAATAGTCTATAGAACCCTCTGACCAGATACACAGTCTGAGTTTCCCTTTGTCATCAAAGACATCTAATGCTCAATATTTAACATAAATTAGGGAATACAATTTAAGTGCAGGAGCATCTGGAAGCTTCCTCACAAAGCACTTTTTTTCTTTAATCCATTTCCTCGGAGCCAAGCTACAAGCCCTGAGATGTGAGATCGTCACCATTGATCAGCAATGCACACAAAACCATTCCTGCTTTCAAAAATGGAACACCACAGAACAAAAGGAAAGCAGGCGTTGTGGTAACATTTGAGACAGAATCATTGACTTCTTCACAATTTTATGTCTGGAGTACAATGCCAGAAACATTGATAAGCACTTTGAGTCTTTCCACAATGTGGAAATGTCAGAATTTATTGAATAATAAATTTACAAAGTTTAATGGTTCCTTTTTAAAATGGTTATTTTATGTGCATTGGTGTTCTGCCTCCATCTGTCTGTGTGAGGGTGTCAGATCCCCTGGAACTGGAGTTACAGACAGCTGTGAGCTGCCATGTTGATGCTGGGTATTGAACCTGAGTCCTTTGGAAGACCAGCCAGCGCTCTTAACCACTCAGCAATCTCTTTAGCCCAAGTTTAGTGATTGAGTGGCAGTAATTTGCCATAAAAATCTGTCTACCTTGGTATCTTGGACTAGGAGAGTTCCAGTTTTTGTCTGTTTTGTTTTTTGTTTCTGGGGTTTTTTTGTTTGGTTTGGTTTTTTGGTTTTGGTTTTCCAGACAGGATTTCTCTGTGTAGCCTTGTCTGTCCTGGACTTTGTAGACCAGACTGACCTCAAACTCACAGGTCTCTGCCTCCCTTAGTGCTGGGACCACAGGTGTGCGCCACCACGCCCAGCTGAATTCAAGTCTTTTATTCCAGTCTTAATTAACTCAAATATCACATGCATACAGAAATCCACTTATGTGACTTTATACATATACATGGAGTACAGAATGAAGTTAAAGACTGAAGCAAAGTTCAAGTGGTTTAAGGAGTGGACCAAGTTTGTCTTGCTAAGACAATGAACCAGACTGGAAATCAGGTTTGAGAAAAAGGCTGCAAAAAACAGCTGCATTGTGAATAAGCCAAACTGGATCCAGAACAGGAAATGGAGGATTAGATCCAGGTCCCAAAATATGAAGAGGTGGCGGGGTAAGCAGTGGAGTACACTTAGTTAACAGTGGGAAACAGGAGTCAGGAACTCCTTGGTCCTTGACACACACTTACGCCCAACTCGAAAGACCCCCAAAAGACCACCAGGGGTCAAGTCCATTGCAAAACACACAAGGATCTTTATTCGCAGCTCAATCTGGGACTCTCACAGACACCAAGGCATTGGTATTCAGCAGAGAGTCCCGAGCTCTGGATTGTAGGTGATTTATAGGCCCCAGTCCCTCCCAGAGCACCCAAAGCAGAGGGATTCCAGCCTAGCAAGCTTCCAATGGTTAAAACAGAAAAGGAGAGGCTACGTTTCAGAAACGATTTGCAGTGGGAAGTGCTACAACCATGAACAGTTCTGGCTTTCTTTGTTCTTTCTCTTGCGGGGGTTGGGGGGGGAGCGGCAGGCTTTGGGCTAAGAGGGGTGATGAGCTCAGTCTGTGCTATTTTCAGAAGCAAAGCTACAAGTTGGAACGAGTTGGGGGCCATCTGGGCTGGTTTCCTGGCAACGATATCTCTCATGAGCAGCAAGGTCAGCTCTTCCCTGCAGTTGGCTGGATCTCTCTAGAAGCAGCAAGGTCAACTGGCCTGATATGTTTTAAACTTTTTAGCTCAGTAACCCAAGGAACCTAATTTTTAATGCTCTGGCCAGGTATTCTATGATAGGTTGGTATAGAGGCAGGTCACTGTGGTGTTAAGGATCTGAAACTTTATGGGGTTCAGACAAGAGTTACCCTCTTTCACCATCTTTTCTGCCCCATAAATTCCTGGGCCTGGTTCTCCTGATATGATCTTGATATGTCCATGTGTTCCTGCCTCCCAGTTTCATTTCTCCCTAATTAATTCATAGGGTGACTCCCTTTGAGTCTGTGTAAGTACAAATTCCAGGAGTTCTTGGATAGGGCCTACAATAACCCAGGCTAAGCCATTGGCTTCTCTTCTCTCCAGCTTTACAAGCTCCCTGCTCCATTTGTTGGCAAAGCACGTCTCCCACTCCACCCTCCCCCACACGCAAACAAATCAACTTTGCGTTCCCACAGAGAGAAACCGTCAGATCAAACCGAAAGTCTGTTTCCCACCTTTCCTAACTCTTAGGTATTCCTAAAATAAAGGTTTGCTCTGCCTTTTCAGCTTCAAGAGCTGAGACCTGAATATTAAGCAACCATAAGGCAGATTTAAAGGGGAAAGTTTGTTTCACAGGCTTAGCAAGGCTCCAAAGAAGGGAAAATCTAACTGGCTAGGTCTGAGAGCCTATGGGGCATTTTAACAAGAGGGAATACATTTTGGGAAAGTGACTAGATGGAAAAAGTTCGGGCTTTCACAAGGAAACTAAAGGAAGATAAGGGTATAATTCTGTAATATTTGTACAGACTCCAATTGCTTAGAGACATCTGTCTCTTCCTCAGAAATGAAAATATTTGCAGATGGGAAGAAAATTGTGTTGCAAATACCTTTTTATGTAACACAGGGAAGTTCCTTTACCTTTACAAGGAGAAACTTATGCTCTGCTTTTGTACAGAAAAGAGGAGAGCAGCCAGTTCCTCTTCTGTCTTCAGCTGAAGTAATCTTTATGCCGAAGTGGTATATTTTGGAGTGGAAATCCTAACTAGCGAGTATCTGCGTTGCACTCTTACTTTTTGAGTATTCTCTTTCTAGTTTGCAAGCCACCCGAGGGCAGAAACTACACCTGGTTTTTGCTCATCCTAATGCCTACCCGGTTTCCCAGCATATGATATGTGGGAAGCTTACATAAATATATTGGATCTCTGCGGGGGCTTCCTCGCCCCCATCCCTCTTGTCACCAAGAAGAGACTCCCAAGAGGATGCATCTTTATTAGCCCCATCCATGCCTCGGCCCGCTGCACCCAAATGGGGGCGCGGGGAGGAGGGCTTCATCCGAGTCCCGATCTGTGTAGGAACCCGAGGAGAGAAGCAGAGACCCTCCGTTTCCCGTGTCGCAGACTGGCCGGCGAGAGGAGGAATGGGCTCGCCGTGCGGACGGTGAAGTGAGCCCGCGAAGTGAGCCCGCGAACACACCAGCCGGGTCTTCACGAGCTCCTCAAGCTCTTTCTCCCGAGCCCCGGGGGAGACTTCGGGGCAGGCGCTGCTTCCCGGGAACCGCAGACCCGCCCCGCACGTCCCGGCCGGCCCCGCAGCCGCGAAGGAACAAGGCCGGCCCCGAACCGGCCCCGCGTGCCCTCCACGCCCCCGCGCGAGCCGGCGGCGGAAGTGCAGCGTCGTGCACTTCCGGGTGTTGTCTGGCCGCTGCCGCGCGTCTCGGGTCTCCCGGCCACCGCCCGGGTCGTGGAGCCAGGAGCGACGTCACCGCCATGGCGGGCATCAAAGGTGGGCCTGGGGGGCGCGGGCCGCGGGGACGGGGCCGCGGGGACGGGGCGGGGCGGCGTGGGGACGAGCCAGCCCGGCTCCTCTGGCGGTCGCGCTCTGCCCCTGGACCAGAACCGGGCGACCCAGCCACCGACGCGTTCTGCGCGAGTTTGCACCCACAGACAGTGAGGGCTGCGGTCGGGAGGGATGCCGTGCACGGCACACCAGCGCGGTTTCCCACGCGAGGCGCGAGCGCGGTCCTCCCCGAAGCCTGGGCTCTGCATCCGCTCCCGGGATACCGGTGCACCATCTTTCCCTGCCTCTGAAGCCGATGCATCTTGGTGTTCGGTGTTGGTACGGTGCAGCAGAGCCCGGATGCTAACCCAGGGTGCTTCAGGCTTGCTTTCCCCACAAGTGCAAGTTGACACTTTTTTAGTTGTGGCTGTTCTTAAAAGATAAGGTAACTTACACCTGGAGGAAAGATAACTTATCTGTTCCTGTGTTTTCTTCAGAGAGAGGGGATTTTTGCCCTGTAGCCTTGCCCTGGGGTTAGAAGCAAAGTTTTCTGTTTACTTATCAGCAGATCACTTTGCTTTCTTGACCTGCTTTGTACAATAGTCAGCCTAGTAGGAAATAAAAATAGTTGGAGAGTGGTACTTCCACCTCGTTGGTAAGGGCGATTTTTGGTTGAGCTCTTCCTCGGGGTCACGTTTTTTTTTTTCCGGTGTCTCGTTTATTTTATGCCTGAAAAACATTTCGTTTCTCAGAGAGAACCTTGTCATCTGAGCAACTAAGATACTTTAAGATCTCTTTTTGAGCTATAATAGACCGTGTCAGATCCGAATGTGAAGGGAAGTTATTGTAAAATGCTGTAGTTCTTAGGATGTTGCCTGTGTTCCTCTAAAGAAAATAGCCGTGTGAGTCTCCAAATCTGGGTAACGTTAATCTGGTGACAGTGACTTCGACCGAATTTGATTTACTTTTTAAAGATTTCAATGTGTTTTAAAGTTACGATTGTTTAGCAAGATATTTCTTCCTTTTGGCCTTTATATTGCCTTTTTATTAAGGAGTGTTGCTGTAGAGACTGTTACATATTTCTTGAGATAGTTGCCTGTTACTTTGTGGTGAATTATATTTTCTGTTAACTCCCAGACTGGGGAACTTGACCCCTTCACCTGTGTCTTTGTAGCCACAGAACCATCATCACCTGAAGAATTCACTAGAGAATCTTTGCTAGGTAATTGGGCTGTTCCGTCCCTGGGCCGGAGGCTCTGGGAGTAGAAACCACACTCCTGTATGGTTCATCTTCCAAATGTTGCATCACTCAATGACTATGAATTCTTACCTTACTGGTGTGTCACTTAGGACGCCATTTATATAAAATAAGCCGCAGAGTTGCCAATGTCATAAGACTGAAGAAACATTACTGGTTTGGGGAGCAGTTAATTTACTCTTGACTGCTTTTTATCTGTAATGACTTAAGAGATGAGATGTCGAATGAGTTGTTTTGAACCTCTTTTAAATATTGAGCATTGAATGCATGGAAATATGACCCTGGGGCATTTTGATTCCCCCAAACAGTTCCACAGGGCTTGCTTTCTCTCACGTGAGTACTTGAAAGGGATTTGATTTTGTATAAATATAAACGCATTGGTAATTTAATGGGCTGGAGAGATGGCTCAGCTTACTGCTCTAACAGAAGAGCCAAGTTCAGATCCTAGCACCTTCCCAAAGCAGCTCACAAAGGCCTGTAACTCCAGCTTGGTAGGCACCTCACTGACACATACAAAACACACACACACGTAAAAAAAAGTGAATATTGTAAAATAATAATTTTCTTACAGCATTGATAGAGTAGCTGTAATAGAAACTTGAGTTTTAAATGTGTTTCAGTGCCAGAACCTTATCCTTTGGTTGCTTGATTTCTTTATTTTAAAGTCTTTTAGGTTGACTTTGTGTATTTGCTCTTTTGGAGACATTATTTAGTACAGGCTAACCTGGAACCCACACTGGACCTGCCTCGGCCTTCTTGCTAGGATCGTGGGCATGTGCCTCTACACGTAGATTCTCATTGTTTTCCCTTTTTCCTCCTCTTCATTAAACTAAGCTTCATTTTTAGTTGGGTTTTTTTATTTGATTTGTTAGTTGTTTTGTTTTTGTTTTTGGTGGTAGTGGTGGGTTTTGGTTTCTTACAGACAGGGTTCTCTGTGTAGCCCTAGCTGTGCTGGAACTCTCTGTAGACCGTGTTAGCCACAAACTCAAAGATCAACCTGCCTCTGCCTTCCAAGTGCTGGGACTAAAGGTGTGCACCACCTTTAATCCAGCCCAGCCCAGTCCTGTCTTTATTTTTATTTTCTGTAAGGGGTAAAATATATGCAGTGGCATCTCTTAATGGTAAGCATCTCTCCTGCTGGGTTTGGATGGCACAGCCTTGTGCAGCTCCAGCCCCTGGCACACACTGGAGAAACCCCTCCCCAGGATACCCAGCCCCACTGTCCTGTTTCCTCCCCTATTAGCCCAGCCTCTATCCTTCACTCAGACAGTTAAGACTGTATTCAAAGAACTTGGACCTTATTTTCTAAGAGTCTAACTGTTGGCGGCTGGAGTCAGTAGTTAAGAGCACTTGCTGCTCTTGCAAAGGATCCAGGTTGGGTTCCCAGCAGCACACACATAATTGCTGGTAACTGTATGTAACTCCAGCTCCAGGGAATCCAACACTCTCTTCTAGTCTCTGTGGGCACCAGGCATACACACAGTGCACATTCATACATACATATATACATACATACAGGCGAAACGCCCATATATTTAAAAAATCCATTTAAAAAAAATAATCTAGATGTGTGTTCTCTGTCACAGAGTAGACCATCAGACATCTTAAGGTCCCCAGGCTTCCTCTTGCTGAGAGGGAAGTCTTTTTTGAAAAAGGCCTTCTTTTTTCTCTGCCTGACTTAAAATGTTTCCCCAGTCTCCTGTAGGGGCCCATTTGTTGACCACATGCAGGCCTTTCATCTACCACTAATTTCAGTGTGGGAAACAAAATATCAAACCTACAAAGTTTCACATCATAAGACACAGTCAGGGCGGTCCCTTTGGGGAGGAAAGCCTTTCTGGGCTCCCACACTGGCCTGGGACTTGCTGTATAGCACAGGCTCCCCTGAACACCTGTTCTTCCTGCCTCTCCCTCCTCAATGCTAAGTACGGATCCACCATACCTAGCTTTAGAGTTTGTTGTTGGGTCGCTGGGCTTATTGTTGTTCCTGTTGTTGGTTAATTGGTGTCTCAGGTACCTCAGGCTAGCCTGAAGCTTGCTGTGTGTTCAGGATCACCTTGAACCCTGCTGATGCTTGTTCCTCCAGCAGAACAAGCATCCTGAGTAAATGACTTCTGGATAAGCTCTGTGTCTTTGTAAAATTTACAGTGGTGAACTTATCTGACAACTGCATTTCAGAGACTATGGGGTTTTTTCTTCAGAATGTCCTTTTTAAAAGTATCTTCAGTGTTTGGGAACTTGCTTGCTTTTCAGCTTCTCTTTCTCTCGCCCTCTCTCTTTCTCTCTCAAGACAGGGTTTTTCTGTGTAGCCTGGCTGTCCTGTAACTCACTCTATAGACCAGGCTGGCCTCAAACACAGAGATCTGCCTGCCTCTGTCTCCCAAGTGTGAGCCATCCCGGCCCGGCAGTCTTCTTCATTAGTAAGAGGAAGAACTGAATTAAATCCATTACTGAGGTAACTAGTTAGTGCCTAGCAGGGGCCAGGACACGATGCTCCAGAAGGCTACATTCATTCTACAGTTGTTACTGAGTGTGTGAGCTGGGGCATGGGTGTCAGAAACACAAAAGGAGCTTTAGGAAGGAAAGATGAGTGGCTTCGGGGACTGATCGCTGAGCTGCCTGCAGTCGAAGGCCCCAGAACGCACCTGCGCCTCTTTCTTTCCTTGACTATCTGCCCAGTCTTTGCCTCATCAAAGATGCCTGGTCAGGAGCCTGCATGCCCACCCCTTATCCTACTGCTTGTGTTCATCACTGGACATTTGTTTTTGTTTTTTTTTTAATCTTTAACTTCTTTAAGAATTCGTATTTACTGAACAAACAGAATGTTCAATCTCACTTTCTCTTTTTTTTTTTGTTAAGTGTTTATTGAACACATACTGTATGCCAGGCGCTACACAAAATCCTGAGGATACAGAGATAAATAAAACAGAAGATTATTCTTAAAAGGTTCCCATCTTTGCAAGAGACCACACATAAGGCCCATGGACACATACCTAGTTCAGAGAACAAAAAGCAATTAAAGTGAAAATGCTTAGGTTGAAGGTGGCCACAGGAGGACTCAGCAACTCTAAAACTGATGCAGACTCACTGTTTGCTTGGTTGCTTGTTTTTGAGATTAGGGTCTCAAGTAACCCAGAATGGCCTTGAAGTCTAATTCAATATATAATGAAAGCTGCCCTTAAAATCCCGATCCCCACCTGCTTTCACCTCAAGAGTCCTAGGATTACCAGAGGGCACAACCACACCCCGTCACTGTTCATTATTTTATGGGCTAGCACGATGGCTCATCAGCAGGTGCACACAGATAGTGTACAATAAATAAAATGTGATCATTTTAAAAGGCTGTTTTCCCTTTCCCTCTAGAATGTAAACACCATGAAAGCAAAAGCAGCACTGGGGCGTCCCCTCCCCCTCCCTGCTGGTCTTCAGTAGCAGGAAGGACCCAGGCAGCACACACTCAGAGCCCAGTGTAGAGTGCTGTTGATTTATCCAGGGGTCCTGGGGGTAGAATCGAGAGCCTCAAGCACACTAGTTGAGCATTGTACCCCTGAGCTAGTTCAGAGCCCTCCATAAATCAAGAAGTAATAAATTCAGTGGCAGAGTTGGTGTAGCTCTGAGGAACACATGACTTCTTGAGTTGACATCTGAGGGGAGTCATAGCTGGAGGAGAGACAGAGCAGGGTGGGAGAGACAGGAGCTTGAGGGAGCCAGTGAGATCCTTGCTGGGTCCCCAGTGTCTGCTGTGCGTTTGTCGTCAGTGAGTATTTCCTGAACGAATGAAGAACTGTGATGTGGGAGAACAAACACGCTCAGAGGCCTTGGAGGTGAAGTAGCCTCTTTCCAGAAGAGGAAAGAGGGCGGTGTCAGAAGCCAGGAGGACTTTATTGCCTGTGTGGCCCAGGCAGGGACTGTAGACTGGACCCTGAGGGACAAGAGGGAAACTCCGTGCTCTCCTGTAGTTGCTGCGCTCCCTGTAAGCCTGAAATGTCGTTTGCTGTTTACAATAAAATAAACATTCGCTTGACTTCTTCCCTCGGTTACTGGAAATATATAAACTATACTGACGTTAAGAACTCAGTACAAGTACAGTAAGTTCACCGTGTTGTATTCAACACTCTGGCGAACACCGAGTCAGCCAAGACACTGTCCGTATCCATCCTCTCTCTCCTGTTAAGCAGACTCTGACCCCTTCCACACGAATTTTGGGTTGTGTGTGCTGCAGTTTTTAACCCGGCAAATTTTAGGTCCTCACATACACTTTGGAGTTTAACTTTCCTGTTAAGGTTAGATCGTACTAGTTTTTTAAAAAGTTAACTTTCCGGGCCTCTGAAATGGCTCCACGGGTAAGAAGGAGTGCTTGCCGCTAAACCTGGTGACCCGTGTTCAGTCCCCAAACCCCACATGGTTTGGGAGAGAGCAACTGCACGTCATGCTCTGACTTCCGCATGCACACACCCTAAATAAATAAATTTAAATAATAAATGTAACAAATCTTACGAAGTCATCCCCTTAGCCACTGAGGATGCAGAAATGCAAGCTGTGGAGAAGTTAAATGGATCACGTTTCTCTTGGCTGAAATCTAGATCATTGGTTTACATAATAAAGTTGTTTCTCACTTTGAAGTACACTGTCCCGGTTCCGGGACCTTCCAGGGTGTCTCTTACGGTAGGAGGCATCTTCCTTCTGTGCTGTGGGAAGACCGTGGGGCGGTACCATGTCTGCCTCGGGATGCACTGTCAGCCCACAGATCTCCTGGGAGTTAGGGAACCGGCAACAAAGTAACTGCTGTAAACTGTAAAGACTAACAGCATCACATGATTACAATAATTAACTCCACTAAGGTCAACCAAGAAGTCTATGCAGAAAATCTCTCTTTTGTTGTTCTTGTTTGTTTTGTTTTTCGAGACAGGGTTTCTCTGTCTCGACAGAGACAGGCATGCACCACCACGCCTGGCTAGTAAATCTCTTTCTTGTCCTTTAAAATTGATAATAACAACAAGGCAGGCATGGTGGCATATAACTCTAATCCCAGCACTCTAGGAGGCAGAAGCAGATGGATCTAGTTTGAGGCCAGCCTGGTCTACATAGCAAAGGCCAGGTCAGCCAAGGCTACTCAGTGAGACCCTTTGTAATTAAAAAGAACTAATTTTTAAATAATTAAAACGAAAAAGCGTATCATAAATAAACTACCCGTGGTCGTGCAACCTTCTCTCTCAGTTTTGTGCTTTTCTGTTTCAGTTTTGGTGAGGCTCTTCTGTCCCTCGCTTCCTCCTCCCTCACCCTCTCTCCTTTGTGTGTACCATTGTGTTTCTGTTTTGGTGAGGCTCTTCTGCCCCTTCTTCCTCCTCTCCTCCACAGGAAAGAGTGCTGTGTGTGGTGGGTGTGTAGGTCAGGACAACTTAAGAGTTCATTTTCTTCTTCCCTTTCCATGTGGATTCCAGGAAATGCCTCAGCCTGCGTGGCCAGGTGCTTTACCCACTTGTGGATTAAGTATGTTAATGGGGATGGGGAGAGAGGTGAGCATTAACGCTGTGAGTCTTAATAGTCCTGAGAAATGGAACCAGTAATTGTGTGTGCTGTTTGTTAGCAGTGGGGCAAAGCTGGCATACAGGTTGTGTTCCTTACTGGGAGTTCTTGGAACCAAATGTGTTTCACCTGTGGATTTCTTCAGACTTCTGAGCCTTTCAAGGGATTAAGGACAGTGCTCAACCTCTATGGCATAGTTTTGTTTTGTGGGTGCCATAGAAGCTTATTCTGAAACTGTGTAATTGGCAGTTTTGAAGACAGTTCACATTTCATTTTGTTTTTTGATATTGGGTCTTACCCTGTAGCTCAAGCTGACCTTTAGTTTGTTGGAATCCTCCTGACTCTGTCCCTGAGTGCTGAGATTAATTGCTCCCTTTTGTTTTGTTGTTGTTGGTTGGTTGGTTTGGTTTTTTTTCTTTTGTGTTTCTGTGTGTAGCCCTGGCTGTCCTGGAACTCACTCTGTAGACCAGGCTGGCCTCGAACTCAGCGATCTGCCTGCCTCTGCCTCCAAAGTGCTGGGACTGAAGGTGTACACCACCATTTGCCCTGCTAACGGTTCACTTTTGAAGGTTGAGTTTGTCTCCCTTCTTGGATTCCAGGGCCTGCTCAGCCTGGTGTGAGGGTGAATAAAGCTGGCACTATCCTGGCTTAACTGATCTCTCTGCGGCTTTTGTTTGTTTTGCAGCCTTAATTAGTTTGTCCTTTGGAGGAGCAATTGGGCTGATGTTCTTGATGCTGGGATGTGCCCTTCCAATATACAAGTATGTAACTGTTTTTTCTTTTTGAGTATTTAAAGGTAAAATTCTTCTACTAAAGCTTCTTACTACATGCTCTGTTTTCTGCTATACAAATAGTGCAGAGAAATGTTCATTTACCAACATAATCCTCTTCTGAAGATCATCACTTCAAATTTATCTGTAAAGATACTGGAATGCCAGGGCAGAGAGATTTTTGGCCATGACCTGCTTCTGTAATGGCCCGGTGACAGAAACTCAGCCCTGCTACCTGCTGATAATTTGCCCACAAAATCTAAAACATCTTTATACGGACAGTAATATAGGCGGCTTCTGAAAACAGCTGTAGGTGATTTCTTTCCCTAGAACGTGACGAATTTTCCACTGAGACACTGCCCATGCTCACTGACAGTCTGCCTGCTCCAGCCGCCCAAGTTCTAGAATTCCAGGTATTCATCACCATGCCCAGTATAGAAAACTTGTAAAATTAGGATTTAAGTAACTAACTAACTTGGTTTTCAAAAGACTAATGTGAAGGGGACCACAAACAGAAGGAGAGAGATTGTGTCGCTAATAAGCACGTGAAAACATACTGAACTTCACTCCAAACTACATGAAATCTACTGGTGAGGAGAAAGGAAGTGAGCTGGCAGGCACTACAGGGTGCCAGCAGGACTAAGTCTTGGGGAGGGGGTTTAGGAAGTGGGCAGTTGCTGTTTCTTGAAACTAGTTTGCCTGTATCTTGTAGTTCCTTGAACTTAGAAATCTTCATTCAAATTCCCTTGCAAATGCTTACAAAGATAAATATAGTAGGTAAGAATATTGCGATTTACAGTTGCTATGTCTATAATAGCAAAAATGGAAAACTGATGACATCACAAATGCCCATCCAAAGCTAAACCATGGGGCATAGTGGATAAAGCACTTGCAACAGAAACACGAGGACCTGAGTTCAAATTCCCAGACCCAGTGTGGCAGCACATGTCTGTAATTCCAGTGTTCCTCCAAAGAGAGGAAAGTGAAGACGGGAGAATCAGTAAGCTTTGCAGACCGGTGTACACATCAGCAAAGACCTGGTCTCAAACAGTGAGGTAGGTAAGAAATGACACCCAGGGTTCTTCTCTGACATCTGTACACTGTGGCACAGAGCATCTGCATTGACGCACACACTTGTGAAGATGTAGAGGGTGGAGAGACCAGTTAGAAAGTGCCTGCTGTGTAGGCATGAGGACATGTTTCCAAACCCCTCACCCATATGCAAAAGCAGAGGACCAGGGTCTGTGTTTATAACCCCAGGGCGAGGGTCCTGCTTTGGATGGGCTTTTGTGATGTCCTCAGTGTTGCATCTTTGCTATTACAGACAAAGCAACTGTAAATAGCGATATTCTTCCCAGGGCACGTAGCCTAGCCTGTGTGACAAACCCCAGGTCAGTGAGCAGCCCTGTCTCAAACAAAAGATAGGGTCTGAAAAGGACTGGCACCCAGGTTGTTACCTGACCTCCAGACCAGTGCACAGACATGCACACGTACCAGTGCGCCCAGACATACATGTTCTAGAAAACAGATCATTGTACGCCCTTCAGGGTCGATATTAACTAGCTTTAAGGAATAAGGAAAGACTGTAAATCCATAAATGCTATTATATACAGTTTCATCTTGGTCAAATTTGTATGGATTGTGGAGGGTCCCAAGAAGCTCCTTAGAAAGGTTTAAAAAAAAAAAAAAAAACAAAGTACAGGTTGGAAAGCTTTTGTTTTTTTATTTGTGTGTGTGTTTCTATATTGTATGGATTTTTTTCTTAAGCATATATTCCACTTAGAGTCTTTTTTACTTTCTTAAAATGTTTCAGAAAAGATTAAGAAAAACATAACAGAGGCTAGAGAGGTTGCTCAGTGCCTACTGGCTGCCCTTCAGAGGACCTGGGTTCAGTTGCCCGGCTCCCATGTGGTACCTCACAACCACCTGTAACTCCAGTTCCAGGAGATACAGCACCCTCTCCTGGCCTCTTCGGGTACTGTATACACTTGGTGCACACAAATTCATGCAAATCGCTGGCATAAAATTAAGTCTTTTTGGCCTGGTAGTAGCAGCACACACCTTTAATCCCAGCTCTGGGAGGCAGAGGCAGGAGGACCTCTGCATTCAAGGCCAGCTTTGTCTACAGAGCGAGTTCCAGGACAGCCAGGGCTACACAGAGAGACCCTGTCTTGAAAAAACAAACAAAATCTTTTTTAAAAAAGAAAACATAACAGATAACTCTAGTAAATTTCCACAGTGTGTAAAATTAAGCTTGTCAATTTTAAAGACCATTTGTTTCTTGTAAAATTTTTTAATAACTGGTTAAACCATGACAGAGAGGTGGGAAGAGTTTCTCTGTCCCCTTTACACAGCTTCCTTCACTGCAGTTCCCAAAGCCAGAAATTACATCCACACAGCACGATTAACAACGACTAAAAACTGTGTTTTGCAATGCTGTTATGTCCTATATTCTGATTTAAGGGAAGCATGGGTGTTTTAACATTATGGTAAGGCAGATGTCAAAGGCATGAATCTCTAATCTTTAAAACAATATTCTTATTTTCAGTATGTTTCCTTATAAACTAAAGGGAGATAATTTTTTTTTTTTGGCCCTTAATTTATAAAGCATTTTGTGAGACATTTTTAGTAATTGTGCTGTAATTAAATATAGGGATGAATTGACTCTTCTCACATGAGCTTGTGGCTTTGTTCTCAGCTACAGCCTGTGTAATATCGTGTAATATTCCTCTGGTCTTTAAACAAAAGGATATTCAGTGTATTGGAAGGTGACATAGCTGACCAAAAAAACTCAACTAACTCTGTTTCTTTTCCAGCCAATACTGGCCCCTCTTTGTTCTGTTTTTTTACATCCTTTCACCCATTCCGTACTGCATAGCAAGAAGATTAGTAGACGATACGGATGCCATGAGCAATGCTTGTAAGGAACTCGCCATATTTCTCACAACAGGCATTGTCGTCTCAGCCTTTGGACTGCCTGTCGTATTTGCCAGAGCACATCTGGTGAGTTTGCCGTATTCTGTGAATGCTTTTATATCAGGCTGATCATTTTTTTCCTTAAAAGTTTTGTTGCCTAAAAGACAGATGCGAGACATCAGGATGCAGAGGACAGATTTAAAAAAAGAAAAAAAAAACAGCTCTCTGTTTTTGCTGTCGGGTTGAAAGTGTCGGAGGGTGTGGCTTGGGTCTGCAGCACAGAGGGCCCTGAAAATGTGCAGTGCATCTTTAGGCCTGCCCTGTAAAACCGAAACCAGCCGGGCTCCTCCCTCTCGATGTGCAGCCCGTTAATACAGTTCTTCTTGTGCAGAAGAACCATAAAACTATTTGCATTGCTGCTTTACATACCCTACCCCATGAAAGGGGCGTTTGCCCACACACACAGGTTGAGAACCACTAACATGAGACAGAGAGGGGTGAAAAGTTTGTCGTCTGCATCTGGGAAAGTGTGAGAGAGGAGAAAGGGCAGATTCGGCACCCAGCCACACCTCCAGACCTGGAAAGGTGGAGTAAGGGGCAGAGACGCTTGTGGCTGAGGCGCTTTTTCCCTCTGCCAGTTCACAGAAAGCCCCGGTATGTTTTCACCACTTAGAGTTCAGTCTCTGCTCCAAACAAGGTTTTAGACTAAGAGTAACTTCCTTTGTAAGCAGTAATTGTAGAGAGTTCCAGGGGCAGGGCGCACCCTGCCCAGGGTCTGGGGTGCACCCCCAGGGCTGCAGACAGAGCCAAACGAAGCTACAGTGGACATCAGCAAAGCTCAGCTTGGACCGGAATAATCATCACCTCCTAACTGTCCACTTTGCAATCAGTGGCAAATAAAAACGCACTGCAAGTTGCTTTACCCGAGATCAGGCTTGGCCAGTACACAGCGTCGATTTGCTCCTCGTCGCCCTTGCTTGCACGCCTGCTGACTTTGTCTCTCCCCCTGCCGCAGATCGAGTGGGGAGCCTGCGCACTGGTTCTCACGGGAAACACGGTCATCTTCGCGACTATCCTCGGCTTCTTCCTGGTCTTTGGGAGCAGCGATGACTTCAGCTGGCAACAGTGGTGAAGGGAGCTACTGAACTGTTGTCATGGGGACTTGTGTCGTCCGTTGGCCGTCCGTGCACAGGAGGGGCCGTGACCCTGAGTTGCGTGTCAAGCCTCTGGGGGTGTCCTAGGTGCTCCCTCTCACTATTGTACACCTACTGTTTCCACGGGGACTTGCTAAGGATTAAAAGGATTTTCTCTTTTGGAAAAGCTTGACTGGTTTCCCACTTCTCTATACTATATGCTTTCCATGACGTCCTGCTGAATCGAAACCACTTCCGTGTTTTCCCTGTTGAGTTGTTTTTAAATCAGTATGCAATGTTAAACATTTTTAAGATGTAATAACCATTTGCATTGGTTTAGGAATTCAGAACTTCTGGCTGTATTATGGGCTAAAGTACATATTTTCTCTAAAAATCAGTTACTCTCCATTATAATATATATATAGATATATATGAGTAAGTTTTTATTCAGTCAGGATGACATCACTCCCAGGTGACTGCAAACATGCAGAGCGTTGGCATAGCTTGTACACTAGTTACTCAGTGCAAAGATAGCTGCATTTATGCCTCAGGGGGCCAAGGAGTGCTGCCCATGCCCTCCCCAAGGGATGCTGGTGTTACTGGCAGACAGGTGTTTTATGAATTGAAAATTATTTTATGGAACTGCCACAAAAGAATGCTCTTCTCCTCAGTTGTTAGGAGACTTTGTGTTAAACTTTAAGGTACAAGTGTAAACACAAGTTTGGGGATACAGTTTGTATTTGTGATAATTACGGTCAAAGCAAGTGAGTTGGCGTGTCGGAAGAAGCGACATGGAAATGCCCCTGTTGGAGAGCCGCTTCTGTGCAGGGTGGTGAGCCTGGCCCTCCGTCGGCCTCTCAAGGTTTGGAGGGTGGAATGGACCTGCATGGGACACCTGCGTTTGCACTGTAGATACTCAAAACCTTTCCTCTGCTCCCTCCTTTTAACTTATTTTGTACATTGTGTATATGAAGTAAAAGAACTTTTCAAATATAGTTTAATAACACTTAGAACTGTTTGACTACTAGGAAAACGATTGCTATGCCATCCACTCAGAGTGCTCCTCCCCACAAGGCCTCGGCGTGATTCACAAGTGACCTGTTGGTCTTGCAGGGGATCCGGGAACGAACAGTTATGAAACTTAGACCACGGTAAGAGTAGTCTCCTAACATTACAGCGTATTTTAAAAACCCCTAAGGCAGGTTTCCTGTATACCTCTTAACTCTCTGAGTTCTGGTTTCATCCTGCTAGATCTACTATTGTAAAGGTATTTATTGTACGAATTAATACTGAGTAGCCAAATCCAGCTGTGTCCAAGCTTCAACATAAACCCGACCAAAAACTTCCCAGTGGCCAGGCATGACCAAACCATAGCAGTCTTTTGCGTCCTCGATTCTCAGTACTTAATCCAAGAGCTGGTTATGAAAATGTTCGCGTTGATCTGACAGTATTTTGTGAGGACATTTGTTTGTATCTTCAGTCTGCTTATGTTAAAAAAAAAAAAAAGAAGTGTTCTGCCTTTAACTGAAAACGAGTAACCATGACAACTGTCTTTTGCTGTTTTTCTAGAGTTTATTTCTCAAAAAAAAAAAAAAAACAGGGGTTGGGGCATACACAAAGTTTTCTCGCCTTTTTACTAAAGATGCCTAAAGCTGAAGTTTTCATTTTGCTTTTGTTTGGCCTGACCATGTTTTATCACCTTTGACTGTGAGATGGGAAGCAGCAAGAAATGTTCAAATGTGGCCTGGCCGTTTGTGGGTTAGGCCAAAAGTGGCTTGCTGAGTGATGATGAAAGACTCTCGGGAGGATGTGCGTGCGCACGCGCGGTCAGAACGCTGCCTGCAGTCTGGAAGGGGCGGGAGGTTCCTTCTCTGCTCCTTCCCCTTTTTCTGTTCCCTTCGCAGATGCCGCGCTGCCCGCCTGGCGGTGGAGCCCTTTTCTAACAGCTGCATATTGTTTCTGGCACTGATTACCAGCGGCATTGCGTGTCTGCCTATGGCCCTGGCTCGGCAGTCCCGTCTCCGGTTTCTAGGCTAGTTACTTAAGAGTTTTCCATGAATGTGCACCAACACAACATTGCCATTCTGCTGTGGAGAGAAAGAAAACTTTTGACGGTGAAACAATAAAGGTTTTAAATATCCATCTCAGCCTGTGGGTGTTTTCATAATAAAGGTTCCGTCTCTGAAGTGCACTAGCCATTTAATAATGCGGCACAAAGCTAGATATGGTAGCATCACCTCAGTACTGGAGAGGCTGAGGCAGGAAGAGGATCAAGAGTGTGAGACTGCGTGGGGCTCCCCAGGACCCTGTCTAAAAGAATGTGCTAGAAAGCAAGCAGGCTAGCAGATCAAAGCTGCAGAAGGAACGTGAAACCATAGTAACAATACTGCCTTGAGCCTCCGTGACCTTGATGGCGATCAATGGCCTGAAACGGAGCCATATTTACACCAAGTGCAGACATTCCAGCTAAGCGCAGAGCCACGTCCTAACAACTAAATGTTATTAGTCTGTGCTGTAGACCCCAGGGCGCTTCGTGCTGCTACAGCTGGTGAGGAGTTCAAATTCCTATTTCTAGAGCTGGTGAGATAGTTCAGTGATTAAAAACACCTATAGTTCCGCCAGAAGACCTAAGCTCAATTCCTAGCATCCACTGCCTAAGTGCAGCTCTGGGGGCATCTTTAACTTCCTCTTCTGGCCTGTGCCATCACCCAGATAAGTGGCATGTACTTAGAACACACAAACACAAAAAAAAAAAAAAAAAAAAAAAAAAAACTTTGAGCTGGAGAGGTGGCTCAGTGGTTAAGAACCCCAGCTGTGTGCCTGGTCCAGTGGCACACACCTGTAATCCCAGCGCTCTGGGAGGCAGAGGCAGTCCTATCTCTTGAGTTTGAGGCCAGCCTGGTCTACAAATCAAGTCCAGGACAGCCAACGCTACACAGAGAAACCCTGTCTAGGGAAAAACAAAAAACACCAGCTGCTCTTCCAGAAGTCCTGAGTTCAGTTCCCAGCAACCACATGGTGGCTCACAACTATCTATAGTGTGATTTTTCATCCCTCTAATAATAAGTAAGGTTGTTTTTTTTTTTTAATTCCTATTTCTTACATACAAACTTGTGTTGTCCTTTGGTGAAGATTGAGAACTCTGTGAGCTGCAGGGGGGAGGGGGGCGGCCCAGTGTGTGGGGCACTTGCCTGCCTCACTTACCCAACCAAGGCTAATTCTGTACATCCTACTGAAAAAAGCCAGCCAGCTCCGGCTTTGTTTTAACCATTCAACAAAAGCACTAAGGAGCTCGTATGCTTGCGATTATTTGGAATACTTTCCTTTCTCATTGCTAAGTGAGGGTTGTGGGGGGGAGGACACTAACAGCCAGAGTTTAATCCTGGGGACCCACATGTGACAAGAGTGACCCAGCTCCTGCAAGTTGCCCTCTGACCTCCACCCACCCCCATTCACCTACCTGTATTCTCATACACAAGAATTCATTTTTTTAAAATTACAGGCCAGCAAGATGGTTCAGCAAGTAAAGGCTGACAGCCTGCGTTCTGTCCCCAAAACCAACATGGTAGGAATGAACTGGGGCCCTGGAGAGATGGCTTGGGGGTTAAGAGGATTTGGGTTCAGTTCCCAGCACCCCTTTGATGGCTTATAACCATTCATGGCACCCTCTCCTCACCTTTGTGGGAACCAGCGTGCAAGCAGTGTACACACATAAATGCAGGGTTGTCTCATACACACAAATCTCAGGAAAAACCTTTAAAGGGAGGGGACCAGCCTGACTTCCAAACATTCGATATGAGACATACATCCCCACATACGGCAATAGTCAAATTATAAAATATTTTTTCCTGGTTTTAGGGGGCCATAACCTGTATTTGGGGAGAGATTGTGTTTCTGGGCTCTTAAAACTGACCCTAGCACCACTCGATTTAATTGGTTTTGAATTTGCTAGTGCGTCCTAGGATAGGAAGGGTGAAACACTGTTGGAGGAAATGGTCTCCTCAAATGCTCTGTTCCAGTTACATAACACTTCCACCTCCCAGTGCTCTTGTGTAAGCGAATTGCTTTGTGATCAGCGTTCCCCCTGCTGAGAGGGCTTTTTAAAATGTCGTCCTCATCCTCGACCGTCCATCCGGATAATCTGAGATCATGAGCAGTAAGGGCAAGCTGTGGAGCACCAGCAGAAGCCTGGCATCAAGCTTCCTACGCTTCGAAGTAGGAGCTGCCCTTTGCTTGATTCCACAGGCCTTCATTTCTCCCTCAGTAAGTATCTCTTCACCTAAACGCTCATGAAGTGTTTAGGGCTGAAGGTTTAGTTTGGGTTTTTTTTTTTTTCAATTACATTTATTTGTGTGTGTGTGTGTGTGTGTGTGTGTGTGTGTGTGTTTGTGTGTGTGTGTGTGTGTTCGTATGTCCCATGGTGTCTATATGGAGGACAGAGGACAACCTGGGAAAGGTGTTCTCTCCTTTCACCATGAGAGTCCCAGGGAACTGAACTTGCGTCATCATTTTTGGTATCAGGCACTCTCGCCAGTTTATAACTTTTAATTTCTCTCAAGGGTGTGTTTAATTACATTCACATGTATGTCCCAGGGATTAGGAAGGTGTGTGCACATGAGTGTGGGAGCCTGCCGAGACCAGAAGAAGGGATCGGATCCCCCTGGAGCTGGGAATTGAACTGGGTCCTCTTCAAGAACAGCCTTCACTCCTAGCCACTGAGCCATCTGCTCCAACCTCTAAAGTTGGTTTTTGGTTTGTTCTTGTACTGGAAGTTGAACCCATAACCTAGAGTTTGCTAAGCAAGCAGTCCGCCAATGAGCTAAGTTCCAAGCTCGCCAGAATTTATCTTTACAAGAAAATGACTACCCTGTTTTGCTTCCAGTCTCCTGAAGATATTTTGAAACCATCCTTGGGTTTAGAACCACACACTCTAGTAATAAAAAAATAAAATAATTTTTTTTTTAAATCAGATATTGTTAAACTTTAAAGCTCCATGGAGATAGGGGCAGAATAAAATCCAAAACTGGTTTTCATAAAGGAGAGGTCAGGACCATAAAGCATTTCTTTTTCAGCTAAAACTGTTTTCATTTTTGTGTTTAGTTGCAGTACTAATGGGTTCGAGGTTAATTTTAGGTGTCAGAGTAGTTTAGTTTATACTGCGAGGGAGGCACTTTGGTTTAGAGCAGTAAACACTCTCAAATAGGATAAAAGAATAAACCTGCTTACTTTCATGTGTTTGCTGTTGTCTTAAGATTTTTTTTAATGTTATGTGTATGACTGTTTTGCCTGTGTGTTTTTCTGTATGCCGCATGTACACAGTGCCTGTGGGGGCCAGAAGAGGGCGCCAGATCCTCAGAGACTGGAGTTAGAAATGGTTGTGAACCCCTATGTGGGTGCCGAGAACTGAACCTGGGTCCTCTTCAAGAGCAGTAAGAATTTTTGGTTGTCTGTTTGTTTTTTAGACAGGGTCTCTGTAGCCCTGGCTGTCCTGCATCCCTCTATGTGGTGCTTGAATTAACAGCATTGCTCTTCTCTTGCAATAAGTCCTCCGAGCCGCAGAGCCATCTCTCCAGCCCACCCTGTGAGGGTTAGGAACATTGCTATTTAGTTTGAGTGACAGTGGACTTGGCATTTAATATGGAAGCATGCTTCTCTTGGCAGATGACCGCAGCATAATGTCATGTAAATGCAGCGTAGCCATAAGCTAGCTTTGTGAGCTGCCCTCCCCCAATAGAACAGATGTTTTCTAAAGGCTAGGTTTAGAAGATTTGAGGTCATTTTGACAACTGTTCTCAGGTGAAACAGCTTCCTGGGATGAAATTAAGACAAGTAGACTGGGTTTTGTCGTGGTCTGAATCATCTATAAGCAGCCGCTCCAAGAGACCCACTCAGTGGAGAGGTTTCTGTGTATGCACGAAACTGGGTAGACAGCCAGCACCTGCCTAAAATGCCAGGTTGAGTCTGTGAATGTCCCAGTACTTGGAGGCAGATCCCTGGCACTCACTGGCTAGCCTAGTCAAAACTAGGTTCACTGAGAGACTCTTGTCTCCAAAAATAAGAGTGATTGAGGAAGAAACCATATACCCGCGGTCTCTGTGTGCACCAACACCCACACACAAGCATGCCCTCGCAAACATGTCCACGTAGCAGACACACATACAAAGCATCTTTGAGACCTAGTTACCAGTGTAGCAGTGAAGACTGAGGACACTGGGCTGTCCTCAGGAGAGGGGTGCGATGTTGAGCCGTACATCCTATTAGGCCTGATATTTGTCACCATCAGAAATGGAAGGGTAATTTCTTTTCAAGTCTGTTGCTCAGAAGAGTAATTTCAAAGCAGTGTTTTTTAAACTTTTAAACCTGATGTTGGTAATGTCTATAATTCCAGGGAGCGGGGAAGCCTTCAGCAGGAAGATTACAAATCTGAGGGGAGCCTGAGCTACAGAGCCCCTCCGGGTAACCAATTAAGCAAATAAATACATAAATTAGAGCACAAGAGTCTCCCATTTACACGACAATCTAATGAGCTAAGACATCCCAAAATAGATCAAAGGATGCCAGCGCCTGCCCATGTCAAGAGAGAAATATGGAGACTCGGGAAAGGGAGGATTTGGGAAATAGAGGTGTGGCAGGCAGTGTCCAGTCTAGTTCCAGGCTGCTATCAGCCCACAGTGCCCTGGGGCAGAGTTCTGCTATCTTCTCTTCAGCTTCCGGAGCTCGGCAGTCAGCTGAGTCAGCAGCACGGGAGCAGCCGCTTCTGGCCTGGCTCCTGGCCTCAGCATCCCAGGCGCTGTGGACATGTGAGGGGTGGTTAGGGGCAGCCTGTATCTAAGGAGTAACCAGGCCCGCTGATAAGTTGTGTAAAAGAGGCGAATCAAGGATGACTGTCTCCTGTGCCGCTGTCCAGTTAAAGCTAGAGTAGCTGCAGAAAAAGTAGTAGGGGTGGAGGGTGAAGAAAACGTGACTATAGGATATAGCCACCATGTATCCAAAACCCGCCTGTTACCTGCGGGCGCTGTGGTCCGCCTTGCTACAGACCTTCACCAGACAAAACAACGCTCTGACTGATGCTTTAACCTTTTAAACACTTAAAATTGTATTTATTGTTGCTATTAGTGTCTGTGTGTTCATGAATGATGGGA